TCTGCCTCGCTCTGTCCTCCCCACCACCACCCCCTTTCTGTCAAAGCTGATTGTTTCCACGCCAGAAGAGTGCTGCGGGCGAACACACTGTCACACTACATCAGGCAGAGGGAAGAAGGGGAGAGAGAGAGTATGATAGGGTATATATGTATATCTGTGTTCAAAAAGCTCCACACAACAGCTAAAGCCCAGGCTGCGGCAGGGATTCCCAAACTTTTTCATGTCAAGGGCATCCAAGACTGCAGACCTCAGATTTTGTCCTGAGGAATCTTGATCTGAAAGGACTCTATACAGCCACAGCTGTCTGAAGCTACTGTAGACAGGAAGGTAAATCTGACAGCAGGGAGAATTAAAGCTTTACACAGCCATGAATGCGCAAAATATCAAGGCCTGCTTTCATTACAGTCCAGAGATGAGGTGAATCTTGACAAAGAACATTATTTTTTGCTCGTTTTGTTCAGTGTTCATTGATTACAAATGTGAAAAAGAAAGCTGATGTAGAGGAATATTTTTCAACATTAACCCAGTTTTGGACTGACTTAACACTGTGATAGTGATGTACATGATGGGCTACGAAATTATGTGAATATGACATTTAAACATGTAAAGGATACACGTATTATTAACAATCAGTAACAAAATATTAACATGTAAGTTTAAAAAGAGCCACAGCAGAGTAAATCAGTTTGCGATGATACCTTTAGTTTGTTCAAATGACCCAACTGTCATAAGAAAAAACACCAAAAACAACCCATTGGCTTGGGTGGTTCATGTTTAAAGTTAACCCAGTTTTGCATCTTTGGATCAATTTTGACACAGTGGTTTTTAGTGTGTGTGCAGCCAAATATAGCTGGAAACAACAGAACTTTATTTTAAATTATAGTTGACACAATTTTGAATAAATCCCCTCAGCGTAAACATCAAAGCGTCAATGTAGAGCTGTAACAAGCTGAGACAGTACAATGCAGTATATAATACAGTCAGACAATTTATAATAAAGGATGTAATAAAAAAAACTTGTTCATAAAGGACCAGCAACACAATATCAGGCTGATGTCACAGATATTTTAGATTTTCACAAACACATTTTACAGCATTTGTTTGTGCTGAACACAGGCATATCATTTCCTAAAGAATGTTCTTTCTTTTCAAGCAATTTGAGACTAAAGAAAATTCTGTATAACCTGAGAAAACTCACTTAGTACATGGACATAACATTTCCTGCAGGATGTATAAATACCCTCTGCCATTGTAAAGCAAACCACAAAATTGTCAAACATTTTCTTTCTTTTCAAGCAAGTTAGGACAAAAATAATATCTGTATAATCAGTGGAAGTGGTAGAAAGGGAGGCAGACCAACACACTCAATTTATGGGCATAACATTCCCTGTATAAATAATCTATGTGACCATGATAATTACAATAAAGTTGTCAGTAATTTGTCTTTTCTTTCTTTCTTTCTTTCTTTCTTAAAAGATGTCTGTATAATTTCAGGAAATGGTAGAAAGAAAGGTGGACTGCCCTAAACTTTAAAAACGAACTGTTAAATTAACTGTAATTATAAAACAATCAACCATGTGCATTTTATCAGTTTCCCAACCATTTTGGATTGTGACCCCTGACCGCTCATTGCATATTAAGTCTACAGCTTGTGACCAGTCCCGAGGTTTTTCCTTGTTTCATGGGAATATTTTTTCTCAAAAAAATAAAGCAAAGATAAGAGGAACATCTGAAAAACAATCATAATAATATAAATATGTTTTTTCACCTTTCCTATCCTGTTCATGGCCCCTCTGATTTATCTCGGTCCTGATCTCAGGTTGGGAGCTGCTACATTATATCATTCAACATGTCGTGAAAAACAATCTTCCCAATGGGAACCCTTTTATGGATCCCAGGTGGTCCCCTGTTAAGTGCACCACTGGCTGGATGATCCGGCCATGTACACACTGCCGCCCCCTGGCGCCAAAACACGGGAACAACAGCAGGTGACGGGCTGACAGGAGTGTGTCTGTGATGGAGTGTCTCCCCCTAGTGGACGCTGTTTTACTGCTGTTATCCTCACAAAGAAGCTTGTGTGTGCGTCCATGAAGTGCGGAAAAAAGAGGAATTTGACATGGGGGATTTAAAGATGTTTTCAGCACGGAAAGTTTGGGGAAATATTGTTTTGTTCTTGAAGTGTGAGAAGAACTAGGTCAGGTCACAGTTCAGGGAATCTGAGGTCAACCCAGACAGATGGAGAATCTTAAAATAGGTACTTGTTTAGTATGCCTACTGACCCTACCTTTCTGAATCGTGATTGAAACACATTTCTCTGTTCTACTGCAGTGTAATAGAATATAAAGTTCATCTTCACTGTGGCTTTGAAAAGATGGTTTTTCAGTCACTTGCAGCCTAATTTATAATTTGAATAAATGCCAGGAACAACCTGGTAACTCCTTTAATATGGTATGTATATTTTCTTAGAGCTGGTGTTAAGGAGTCAGGTAGGCTAATAAACAAAATTTTCTCTTGCTGGCACCTTTTCAATCTATAGAATATGTCTTGTTTTGTTACAGATGGCAGCTCATATTTGTGTATTTTTCAACACTGAAGTGATAAGTACGAAATGAATTAATGGTTTTCATGTTGTGTTTTTGTTTTGGAAATGTGTAAAAAAAATAAAACAAAAGAAATCACAAAGTTCTTGTACAAGAACGTCACTTTGTGATTTCTTTAGTGATACTTAAGATTAGAAACCCTAAATACTATGTTTAAGTAGATGTATTGTGTGGGATAAAGACATTGCAGTGGAGAAAAAAAACTTACAAATCCTTTGCACTGAAACGTAGGCATTTTGTGGTTTCACTGTTGTTTGGAGGCGCAGAAGGTGTTGTTACAAAACAGACAAATGCAGATCCTCTTCCTGGCACTCTGTGGGGGTGGCACAAGGCCCAGCTGTGCGCACCTCTCTGCTCCCTAGCAAGTTTTGCAATGAAAAAAAACATCTAACATCGTACCTGTCGGTTTTATGTCTTGTTTTCCTTCCTCGTTTTATTACTGACTGAATTAGCGGCTTTGCAGGAACAGACAGAGGCGCACTCTTGTGTGCGCAATGCGCCGTCAGTGCGCCCGCAGCAGGAGTCTCGGCGGTCACACCACGACCGAGTAATGTGTTCAGCGTGAGGGAAGTACAGATACTAGTTTACATAATTCAAAAAAAGAAAAGAAAAGTAAAATGGATATAAATATTATGGAGTCGTCTTTCTCTTGGAAATGTAGGGGCCACTTTCTAGTATGGCACCATTTATACGTTTTAACTAATGGCTAAATGATAATGAATAAAGCATAATCATTTAGATGAGTTATAAGTCATCAACAAGAACAAATGTTGGTTAGGCCTTGTTGTGGAAAATCTGTATTGCTGCATGGTGTGTATGCAGCTTGTATATCCTGTGCATTTTCTTTGTCTTTTTAGGTCTTTAGGTCACCAGGGAGATCTGCTCATGGGACCGTTTGACCTCTGACCCTTTGAAAAGAGCTGGTAAAGAGCAAGTCCTTACATTTATATAACTTTTCAGCAATTTGTTGTGTGAACTATAGGTACAGATGACTTACTAACTTTTGCTTATTAGAAATTAAAAACATGTGATCCTTATTTTTTATATTTAGGCTACTAATTGACTTTTATGGCTGCAAATTGGACCACTTTTTAGAAAGTTTTTATTTAGCTTTAATTAATTACTTAGGTTACCTATTAATAACTCACCAAGCAAGAGAAGCTTTTTATGGCAAAAGTTGCACTCATCAATAAACTGTTGGTAAATTATTTATTAACATAACATAAATGAAACAATTAATTATACCTTTTAAACTCGTTATGAAGAGTGCATTATTATTCATTAATCACCATCACCAGGTGATATTTTAATATGCCACTGAAAGTACCTGAAAGTAAAACATTCTCATTACTCTTTACTCTTTATTAAATACTTTTTCCTGAGCTGAAACTGATCAGATCGCACTTTCCCTGCGTAAATGAAAGTGTTTATCTCAGTGTTTCATGCGCTTTGTTTGAATGAATTTATAACCTCTCCTGTTCCTATACCCTGAAATCACGTCTCGGTGGATTACAAAATCCATCAAAAAGCGTGTTTGTTCCTCCTCGGTGTCCTTTTCTTTAGAGGTGGCTGCTTGCACGGCGCCTACAAGTCCCTATTCCGATGTAAACATGTTCTGCTCGTGCTTTGATGCCTCTCAAACATCCACCTTCAGCCATAAAACAAGGGATCAATATGTAAATTGACTCAGACTTTCACGGCCTGCGTCCAAGAGAGGCGATAAGCTTAGAAAATAAACGGGAGTTAGTTAGGCGGCATAGTCGGGGATTATCCCCAAACTTGCCCCGGGGTTTGGCTCTCCCGCGCGCAACCGGACCGGCGTCTGTTCTCCGCGGCCGGATTGGACCTGCAGGGCCCCGGGGCGCAGACTGACAGGCTCCCCGGGGGCCCCCCTGCGACTCGCTCAGGATGGAGATTATAGGGTGGCAACGCGGCTGGTATCTCTCTGAACACACATACAACACACACGGAAAAGAGGTGAGATGATCTCGGAGTGCCCGCGGCAGCAGCCATGCCCGCAAAGATTGACGCTTGAGCCTCACACGGCTATCACACTCCCTGCAGAACACGCTCCCCAACCCCGTGTGATGAGCCGATACAAACCAACTTTGTTCAGCTGACAAAGAGGCAATTGTTAGCTGAAAGGTCATTTGCCGGAGGGCTCCAGTACAGCAAGTACAGCAATAGAAGATAAAAAAATGCCCTTCTTTAGTCATATCTGCACTGAGGGGGCTTTGATAAACCTGCTCCTTGAAATCATCATGCTGATCTGGAATGAAATGAAGGCTCACAGGCTCTTGAAGGGTTCTATCAGCAAACTCCTTGGACTTCCCCTCAGATTAATCTATTAAAATGTGTGTTAAAGGGCTTATGAGTGTGCTAACAAACAGGGACACAAAAAATGTTTTTATTCTTTTAATGTACTTATTATCTCTCTATATTTACAGCATGATCTCAGGGTATAAATAATTTCTAGCAATGTAAAATCTGCTGTTTTCTAATACGTTTTCAGTAGACACACGTTTTATACACAAAGGTCAAGACAAAGAAGAACAGCATACACACAGATTATTTTTTATATAAACATGCCATTATTCTCAAACATTAAAGTGTTCATTATCTCATTGCTTTGACCACATCCAAAGTCATACATTTCGGTTTTTGGTGTAGATACAGGGGTTAAGTCCAGTCTTTAGTTTACTGAAGATGAGTCAGATACATTTATTGATGCTCTAGGTGGGACATTAGTAAAGAAAATCAACAAAAACACAAGTGTTTGTGTCATTACAATCAGCAACATGAGTATGAAGCTTAAAAATGTGTGAAAGGATGTTGGGAGATTGTCATTTTATTCATTGGAAATGTCTTTAGGATAGAAGCAAATAGAAAAAATGCAGTTTTTCACCACTCCCTGTTTCAGTTCTTCTCTCTATGACTGGCTGACAGCGGCAGCGGGTGTGGCGTTGGCCACGGCGGCAGCGGCGCCCATGCGCAGCAGTTCCTTCCTCTGTGTGAGGATGACGTCGAAGCTGGACTGCAGGCGGTTCTGCTGCTCCTGAATGCGGCTCTGCAGAGTGCGGACCCAGCGGATCAGCGCCAAGCGGCGGTACATGGTCAGCTGTACCTGGTGCTTCTCCATCTCCTGGGCCTTGAAGCGCTCGCGGTCTCGCAGCGTCCACACTGCGTCCATTAGCTCTGGCAGCTCGCCGTCTGAGTCTGAAGACCGATCATCATTGCCTTGCTCTTCTGTTCCTTCCTCCAGAAGATTTCCCAGGTTGCTTCCTGTCAGCGACTTGCGGCCGAAGCTCCTGCGTCTTCCAGCTGGTTCTCTGTTGCCGTTTCTGGTTGGGTCATTTTCCTGGTGGTTGGATTTTGGTTCCCCAACTCCGATGCGGTCCCAGCCTCCCATGAGCATCCCTTCGCCTCCACTGTCCATGTTGTGAGAGGACATGCTGCAGCCAGAACGATTGCTGAACTCGGACTCAGAATCGCTGTCGCCCCATTCGTCACCTTCATCCAAGCCCGGATCATCCTCATCCTCGTCTTCCTCTTCCTCGCTTCCTCTGAAACCCAAGCTGCTTTTCCTCCTCTGCAGCTCCTTTTTCTCTCTCTGCTTCTCCTCATTGTGGATCATCATTACCCTTCTCACCTCTTCCTCCATCCTACCTTCCTCCGCTCCATCAGGGGGTACTCGGCCATAAGTATCATCCCCGCTCTCGATCTCGGGCAGGGGCTCCAGGGGGCTCCAGCAGGGCAGGCGGGAGCGTGGTGACAGAAGCCCTGAGTTGTGGTGATACCCTGTAGACGGCAAGGAGTTTGGTGGGTCACGACCCAGTGGGCCCAGGTTGCGGGGACGAGTCTGGTTTCGGTTCTCATCTCCTCCTCCATTGCCTGTGAAGCCCTCATCATCTTTGCCTGGCAGGATGTTGAAGTTGCCATCTTTGTCACACTTCCTGTTTCGCAGCGAGGAAGAAGAGCCATTGTTGGAGCCTCCATAGGCCGAGTTCAGAGGTTGATCCTGATGGTGAAGCATCACTGACCTCGACTGAGACTCACTGAAATCACAAGGGACAGAACATTGAGACACTTGAGCTCTTGTGTTTTACTTGAAATTATCTGTACAAACTAAGTTTTTCCTACCTCCTATGCAGCAAAAGTTTAACTTGACATCAGTACAATACAAAAATCAAGTTGCATGGAATTGGGTAATAAACCTCAATGTTTTGCATCACCTGAAATGTGTCAATACTTAAGCGTCCTGGTGGCCTAGTGGTTGAGACGCCATACCATGTAACTGCAACGTATCCCAGTTTAATTCTGGGACCTTTGTTGTATGTTGTACTCCTCTCTCCCTGATTTTCCCTGCCTGTACCTCAGCTGTTACTATAAGCTGAAAAATGTTCAACTGTAGCATTTTGGTATCTGTACCAGATGACATATTATATCGATAATATCCAAAGATTTCAAATGTTATCCAGCAAACAACTGATATCTAGTGATCAGAAGCACAGAGCGGGTTTTGTAAACCTCTACGCTGTTTTTAGTGGGGAAACTCCAACATCTGATTCATAACAGGAACCCTCTTTATGGATCAAATTACTAAATTCACACTGTCCTCTTCACAACACCTCTGTTTTCTTGTTGTTTGTCTCACAAGTTTGATTTACAAACAAAACATAGCTAATTAATCCAATCCTGTGTGCCACTTTCCACTCTTGGATAATGGCCCTTTCCAGAAGCTCAAGAGGTCTCGAAAAAAGCCAAGCTTTCAACTGCATAATCAGCCAACTATAGAAGTGACTTTGACAGCCTATTGTCAGCAAGGTGATATTGTGTACAAACATTAGTTTGTAAAAATCAGCAGCTGAGTAGAAGATACATAAGCAAGGTCACTGGGAGGCCAAAAAAGCTACGGAACACTTGAAATGTTCAGCAGAAATATAAAGCACATACAATTTGTGGTCAAAGACTAGGCTAGCTAGATTAAAAACAAAAGAGATTTATATATGAACATACACAGATGAGCCAAAGCAACAACACTGAGGAGAAGAGGGAAGTTAAATCAAGTTTACACACGTCTGTTCCTCTACCCTGTTACCCTAACCCTGACCTTAACCTAATTGTAACCTGAATACTACTCTCACACACACACACACACACACACACACACACACACACACACAGACATCCAGTTCACACCAAACTCCTTGTTTATAATGTCTAGAACTACAGGCTGGTCTGCACACTCCACTTCTATTAGCATCAAATATTTACATGTCTCCTCAGAATGGAAATTTCACTAATCCTGACTTCAGGCTGCTGTCAATCAAAAACTCTCCTCTCCTCCCCTGTGCACGCGCGTTCACGTGGTGCTGAAGGACAGCGACTGTGGCTTCATCGGGAGCGCGCGTGCAGCAGGCACAGACTGACGTCCGGCGATCACGAGGAGAAAACATTGATTATCTGTGTAAAATCGACACATTTACCGCATCAGAGCTGATTTTTTAAGTTAGAGAGTTAAATAACCCATAGGGTCTTAGAATAAAGCACAGTGTGATGAGGAATAGATTTCTATAAATAGGATTTTATCAATGCAAAAACAACAGCACGCGATGACAAAAAGAGAAAAATAATACCGAAACAGTCCTGCTGCTGGGTGGATGTTTCTTATCTGTACAAAGAGATGTCTGTGTTTGCATGGACGACGGCAGAAAACATCAAAAAGGCGACCAATGGCGCTCAGTGGTTGCATATTTACGGCTTAGTGATGAATAGGTATAAGGTTAAAATAAAACACAAAACACGAGTTTTATATTCTAATCCATCTACGGCGAAACCCCGTGGTTAAAAAAATAGTCGACATTTCCTCTTAAGGCGGTAAAATTGGACAAAAACGCAGAAAAATAACAAGAATATTTCATGTAGGCTACGTTGCGCGTTATGTAACGCTCACCCCATGTCAGTGCTGTCTCCTCGCTACTGCTTCTCAGTAAAATCAACCTCAGACCTTTCCTTTCATCTCCTATTTGCTGGTTGTGTAAGTCAAATGACGGCCACAGACCAGCGTGAATAAATTTGCATGAGGTTCTGGTGTGTTCTTACCTTTCTGCTGGTTTGCTGTTCGGTGGAGAAGCTGGACACTGCGCCCTCCCAATTTTCTCCCCCCTCCTCCGACGCTCCTGTGTGATGTTTATCTTCCTCTCTCCTCCTCCCATCCTCTCACTGCCACCGTGATCCTGGGAAAAAAGGGACCGGCTGAATAACAACACTTCCTAAACTGGGCTGGGACTGCAGGAAAGGGGAAGCCGTGGAGAATGAACAGGAACAATGTGAGGACAGAGGAGGCTGTCATGTTACTGTGAGGTCCTTGCTATTAAGTCTGAATGCACGACAACAGGCCACAGCCCTAACACCCACGTGATGGCATGGTGTTAACCTAAGCACGGCAGTGACATCCTGGGCTGTTTAAGTTTTTTCGGGCATAAACAGTAGACAAACAGTAGACGCAATTAGTGTTTCTAGACTAATGTAACAACAATGAAGCACTTAAAACTGGGAAAAATGTGGTTTAAAAGTTACATTTTTGGTGGTAACACTTTACTTTAACCCATTTAGCTTTCATAAAAGCACACAAACATTTACTAAATGGTCCATAACATCCTATAAAGTAGTTGTAAGAAGCTAGAAGGACATCTTTAAGTGTTTAATAATGTACAGAAGGACTTTTCAAAGTCTGAGACTGTGGGCCTCCCCTCAGATAAAGTGCCCCACCTTTAGATGACCAGGTCAGTTTTGCTCAAGTCCTGGATGCCTATGGGATCATGATTATGACATATGATCACATAGACAGAAAGAATTGAGTCAAGGCAGCCTAATATTACTGTTTGACAGCACAGACCACACCAATTACATAATAAAGGTCTATCCTATGGTATTTATTAATCTCTTGGAATGTAGAAAATCTGTAAAATGTCTTAAACCAAATCACACACATTTAGACTGATCTATATGTCCTTTTGATAATTAATGTAATAACTAATGTAATATTTTTTGAAATATGAAACTGTTTGGAGCATGTTTAAAATGTTGTTAAATATAATAGCTAATATAATATAGTATATAGTATAATATATAGCTATATAATGGTTATGATCTATAAAACCCAGATGTTTAAAAAGCCAGTCAACCAAATTTAGTCTAGTTGTAACCTTGGTTTTATGTTATGATGTCACTCCTATTTTATATGGGCTTGCATGGTAGATTTTAGCACCTGTTCTGTAATCAGAAGAATCAGAATCACAATCAGAATCAGAAGGAGCTTTATTGCCAAGTAGTGTTTTATACGAGGAATTTGCTTGGTGATAAGGTGCTACGTGTAGACAAACATACAGTTGACATAAATAAATGTAGAAATATATTAATATGGAATAGACAATGCAAGTTATTTAAAATTTGCAGAGAAAGAACAATGTCACAGATTTTTACATGACAGTCTGTTGTAGGGTTTTATAGGGGAATTTCATCATATGAGAAACAGAGAAAGGTTATCAAGATCAGACTTGTGACTCGAACAAGGGACAAAACTAGCTTTCACTCACTGGAAAAAACAAACATACAATATAGCCGCAAGCAGCAATGATGGGGATCCAAGCAAGTTGTGAAAAATGCAACATTTGACATTTTCAGAGAAGAACAGATGCAGATGACTTAAGAGATTAAAGTGATGAAAGAATTTAGTCTTTGAGAAAATTGCGAAAACGCAAACTTGATTTTTACAGCATCACCTTGAGATCAAAGAGTGTCATTATATGTACCTGACTGATTAGGTGAAAGGTTCGACCCACCTACAAAATTTGTGTTTCAAAGTTTTAAAGTTTGAGCTGCACAAACACTTTTTAGCAGCGTAAATAAGATGAAAGTGTCAAGTGATCCAAATAAAATTGAGAACTTAGATTCTCTATTATCTGAACACCCCCAAAGTCAGCAAGTCTGACTCTGCGGATTTGAAACCTGGAACTTCTGATCTCCAGAGTAGGTGACTTTCTGACTGAGCTACTGGCGAGAGGCTGTTCCCCCACAACTTCTCAGCTGAGGTAGTGACGTCACATGCGCCTGACTCGGATATTTTTGTCAGTTTAAACTTAAAATGCCGACAACAGTCTAGATGTTGGTGATAAAATTCATACATCATTCTGTTGGTTTTGGGTGTGTTGTCAATTATTTTGGTGCCATTTGATCCAAAACTGAGCAAAAAGAAAATGTTGTGCATAGTGTACAAGTAGCAAGATACTGAATATCACTGCAGGCTCACCTTTTGATCGATCTGAAAACCCTTTCAAACTCTTGATGTTGGCTGTCTAGAGAATGTCTTTGTCGATTTTGGTAGCGTTTGAACGAAGACTTGTGAAGATATAGATGTTAATTGATTTAGCATATTCTAAAAAATATAGAGTAACTTCTGAATTGACCATAGGTTGCAGTGAGGCAAACGTTTGTCACATATCAGTAGATGTGTTGAGATAATTTCAGCTCTCTAGGACTTAGGGGTGATTTTCTTGGATTTGGAATTTGGAAGAAGAAATATCTAGAAATTTACATTTGTTTTGAAAGCCATGCCCACCTTTAGCAATCATTACCAATTTTTATGCATCAACTGAGTAGGTAGTGACCCTAGATCGTACAAACCGAATTTTGTACGAATCCATTCAGCGAATTGACCCTTCGCTAAGCCACGCCCCGAATACACAGTTGGCCAATCACAGTGCAGTATAGGACTCGCTCTAACTGAGGTCCGACCAGGGGTCCGACATTTACATTTTACATTTATTCATTTTAGCTGACTTACAATTTCTATACATGTCAGAGGTCGCACGCCTCTGGAGCAACTAGGGGTTGAGTGTCTTGCTCAGGGACACATTGCTGGATGGGTCACAGTGGGGGATTGAACCCAGGTCTCTCACACCAAAGGCAAATTGGCTTAAGCTATTGTAACCAAACATGCAACGTATTTTCAGATAGGCTACTTGGTCCGAGCTTCGCAATAGGTTAAGCCAATTTGATTTTAGAGAAAAGTGATATAAAGTCGCATAATTTGACATTTTTAGAGCAGAAGAACATTGGAGCAAAAATGCACATGAAGTTACAGAATCAGAAATACTTTATTGATCCCCAAGGGGAAATTCTTGAAAAAAGGGTGGGGGAAGGGGACATTGGTTCTCTGCATTTAACCCATCCTTTTTAGGAGCAGTGGGCTGCCATCATAAGGCGCCCGGGGAGCGGTTTAGGGTTCAGGGCCTGGCTCAGGGGGCACCTTCGGTATTGGTTTGCGTTGAACTCGATCCTGCGACCCACCGGTTTCCAAGCCAAGTCCCAAAAGACTAAACTAATGCCGCCCCTATTCGTAAATAGTTGACTGTAAACTGTAAACTAAGCCATTTTCGAGATAATGTTCGAGATGCAAAAAGTAAAGTTAGTTGTTATAGCGCTACCATGAAGTCTGTGAGAAGTGGGTGGAATTTGAAACCCACCTGCCAATTTAGTGAGTTTTCGTGCAGCATTTTTTTGCTGCCCAAACACTTTTAGCGGAGAAAAGAAAGAAAGAAAGAAACAAAGAAAGAAAAATAATGAGAACAAAACCAATAGGGCTCCAGCAGCTTCGTTGCTTGGATCCCTAAAAAATGATATGTTGGTTTTAATGGGCTGTTTCTCTCTCTCTCTCCAACTTCTCCTTATTAAAGTCAACAGGCAAGGTCATGCCCATCTTCTGGTGGTCATCAAACAGCATTCTGGGAAATGGAGAAAGTCCCACGGGGAATTTGAAGTAGACAAGACAAATCACAACAGTCAATAACAACACTTTCTGGTAGGCATTGAACATTTCAACATCAAGCTTAAGTGTCAGAGGATGGATTTAAAAATAAATGTTATCACAGCAGATATCTTCAATTACAGGTGCGCTTAAGGCATCAGAACTGTTACCCACAATGCAACACTGATAGGAAACGTCATATCTCAAGTCCCTGCAAAGGGAGGGCTGCAGGATTTGTTGCATGCGTGATATTTCTCCAAAGTGGCGACTGGCTGCTTTTGTGATTGTCAATCTCAAATCTAAGGGCATGGCAGCCGAATGTGTGTGTGTTTTCTAGAGGTGTGTGTGTGTGTGTGTCTGTGTGTTATAGAGAGGTTACATCAGACAGACTTAACAAGTGTTCACTGTCTCTCTCCACCCTGCTCTCATCCCCTTGACATGTCGTCGCTGGCGGCAGAAAGAACCTTGCGTCCTCCTCCTTCTTTCCACACACACACACACACACACACACACACACACACACAGACTTCTATCCCTATCTTCCTCCCCCCTCTTTCTCCTTCAACAACATCCCCATTCAAGTGCATCAGCTCCAGGCATCCTTCCTCCCTCCCCCTCCCCCTCGTTCACTAGTAGCCTAAGCACATAAAAAATACATCAAACACAGCCGTCCGCCCAAGGCCTCGTCACACGCAAAATCATCTCTCCCTCCATCTCTCTAAAAAAAAGGAAAAACCCAAGTTACAAAAGACAGCTACAGAGGACGTTGATAGAAGGAGAGATAGACTGAACTCGGAGGACTGGGGGTCATCTGTGAGGCCTTCTGTGGGTAGGCAGATTATTGTAATGTTAACCCTTAACCACCTTCTCCCCTCTTTCACACATATACACTGAAAGAGTAAAAATAAAAAATAAAGGAGCATGACTTACCTTGTGCACAATAAGACCTTGTTTGAATTGTACACAGCCTGCAGCTCCATGACCCACTTCCCTCAGTTCAGCTCCACATCTGCTCCAGCACCAGTCTCGGCTGTGACAGTGGCCGAGGGCGGCCAGCAGCACCCATGGGCTACACTGTCATATCCCCGGTGCTGAAACGCACAGACACTGTAAAGAGAAGCCTGCTGGACCTCCAGCTCACGGCCAGCTCGCTTAAAAAAATCAGCCAAATCAGCCAAGACGTGCTAAATTGAACCACTAATCCAGCACAGGGTTTGCTTTGCACATCAATTACACACTTTTATTTTAGGCATACATGTGAGTAGACACACACATACAGTGCGCATAAGTCATGACACAAGCACACACACCCTTGGGTGCTACAGCTCATGTTTCTCTTCAATTATTCTCTGCCCTCTCTCCTTCTCATAATCTGAATAAAGCCAGATCCGTGTCCTCTAGATATTTAGAAGCCGGGCCTCGGTGCCAAAACATGTAACCTTCCTCTTTCAAGTGTGGATTGAATTGGGAGTTTGGGGGGGTGGTTGGCTTTAGTGCGCTGACCTCGTAATTCCCTCTCAGGGTTAAACAAAGTTGTAAAATTCAGTTTGGAGAAGCGGGTATGCTGTTGATGAAGAGAAAGAGAAGTAGGAATAAAAAGCAAAAATATACCAAAGCTGAATTACTCGCCAACTTGCAAAGACATAATTCCTATTAATTTCTAATTAGAAATGATTTCTTGACCCTGCAAACAGACCCTAAGGATTTGGAATCAAGTCTTTATCTCGATTAATTGCGTTGTAATGGCTCAAAGATAATGATAGATGCATATTAGTCCTTTGCCCAAAGCCTCTTGGCTCTTTCACAGAAATCTAGTGATGTTTCGAGTCTTTTGACAAACAAACAAAACTGAGGCGTAACTGCTTTGACAAAGGTAAAAATGTAATCACTGCTTTAACAACACCAGGATTAAGCTGGCCTGCCTGCAGGTAGAGCAGCTCGCTATAGGCGGGGCCCCACCATGGGGTTCATTCCAGACCCTCCTGGCATTGGCCCCTAATGATGTCTAATGGGGCCTCCTGCGCCTGTTCCTAACCCCAGGACCTCTTCCTAATCACCATGGCTACTAATGAGATGGAGAGACATGAAAGGGCTCGTCTGCCTATTATTAGCCACTTACCAAATCATTAGTCTCTAAACTGCAATTATGCTTTAAACCAGGAAGAAAAAGTGAAACAAAGAGTCAGAGGAGTCCCAAAGTGTGGAGATTTACAGCAAAGGACACACAGAGTGCCGTGGATTCACTTGAATTGTTAAAAAGCTTTCCAACAAACAACCAGGAATGAAAACACTAGTTTTATCCTCCACTTTTATTTTGTGATTTGGGATCCCAGACGTGTCTTTCATACTTGTTTCCAGTGGCCTTCGGTGATCAGAGACTATTGTATAATAGACACACTTTACTCTTTTAAAGTCAAGTGATGACATTAAATCTCTGTGCAGGGAACCTCTGTTGCTGAGTGGTGATCCAAGATGGAGGCAATCACACAGTCTTATCCACAAGAGGCCTGAAAAAGTATTTGAGCGAAGGTATTGTCCAACAGTGGTACGGGAAAACAGAAATGCAATGCTTAAATCCCAAGCAGGAAAAAGCAAATAAGGCAGGAGAAGGTTTCAGGAGGCTTTTAAAACATTTACAAAATTTGTGTCCAACACAAATAATCCCCCCCCCCAGAAAACCATTGAAATTAGCAACTTATCCAGCTCCAAAGACACATCTTTAAGAGCAAGAAAAGTTGTCTTTACAAATGGACCTTATTTGCATTGTAGTAAGTAAAAACTCCATATTAACTCAACTTTCTCACAGGAGAAAACGAAAAACAATACTAAGCTACTACAGCGATGCTAACAGCTCTGTAAGGCTGTACTTCGGCACTGCGGGGTTCTGACGCCAACTGCTAGCATGCTAACACATTAAATGTGCTAACATTTGATAATTAGCACACAAAGTACAACTGAGGGTGATGGGAATGTACGTTTTGCAGGTATTAGTCATAAACCACAGCATTGGATGAATTAAAATGTTGGCCTGATGGCGGCTCAACATGAAATGGCAGGGGATCACCAAAGTGATTCCAATTCATCCTGATACATAAATACATAATGTGTACCAAATGTCATGGCAATCCATCCAATAGCTGTGGAGACATTTCACTCAAAACCACAAATGTGCACCTCATGTTGGCGCTACAGGAAAAATCTGAGGATCACCAACACACTGAATAGCTGTTGCACACATACCTGACCACATAAAGTGGAACTGACATATCATATCTGGTCTGACAACAAAAGCAATAAGAGAAATGTTGTAAAATACACTTTTATTTACAATGTAAAACAAATACATTTAAAATCATACAAAACTCCCTTACCTTTAAAAAAAACAATTCAATCCTATTTACATGATAAAACCCTTTTAAATGGACCTTTGTTGTTAGGAAGTCCAAATGAGTCAAGTAACATGTCAGAGATGCATCTGATGGCATAAAGGACTTAAAATGTACAAGCAAATGTGTGTAAGAAAAAGTAAAAACAGATTCCTCAGAGGTGCTTTAGTTGGCCATTTAAAAAAAAAAAAGAAAGAAAAAAAAAAAGGTGCAAACAAACGTAGACGCATCTGTATTTGTGTTTTCTAAAAAGGGACAGAGGGGAGGACGTTTATACGCCACCTTGGCACGTGACCATCATTTTACCGCCTCCTTCATTTTTGACGTCTTATTGGTTAGTGAAATACTGGGCATGGCTGATTAGTTCTGGTCTTCATGCTGTTGCTTCCCGGCCCGCTGATGATCATCATTCGGATAGTGTACTGTGACCTCAGTGGTCCAGGAAGTTGAAGATGCTCCTCTGGGAGGCTTTAGTCTGTCCGGCAGGTTTGTTCTCCCTGCAGATCCTCTTTGCCGCTGGGTTCACTGCCTCCACAGGCCCCCTCTTCTTCTTCATCATCTGAGGATCAAACACATCCAAAACAAAACAATGAACTCTTGATGAACACTGACAAAAGACACTGAACTATTAGTGTGGTGAAAGAATACACGAATACATGTGTTTTGTGGTTAAATTAAAACTAATGTAAATAAAATGTTGTTAATGGTGAATCTACTGATACATGATTCTTGAACTACCAAGCAAGAGTCATTTAGAGGTTGTAAAAAGGAGCAGCAGGCTTTGTCTCCACCTAGTGTCATAAATGTAGAAGACATCAGAATCAATAAACCCCCATCACACTCACATGATTATCACACTGAACAGTCTCTCCAAGATCTTTGGAAAGAATTTTGTTTTTGCACTTATTTTAGAACAGTGAGAACTTGCCAAAGACATAACCAGACAGGATTGGGAAACCAAAAAAAAATACAACAACAAGCCTCACCATTTTTCTCAGAACCAGTATGGCTTTTCAATCAAAAATATTTGAAATTTTTTCCACCACTGAACAAAGTGTCAGAAGTGTCTGCAGTACCATAAGCTAGTACAAACTGTGGTCCTGCACTCCTGGGGCCTGTTTCACCAAATATGCAACATGATTTCCCCCTTTCACTAATTTTGAAATGTTGTCTCTCATAGCAATAATTTTGATTAAAACAATGACCACTGTTTGTCCATCAGTGTCTAGTCAATGCATTTGATAAACAAACAGTTAACAGCTCTTGTTCTCCAGACCTCCAGCCACTTTATTTCTGTAAAAAACAGGAATAGCTGCAAATCTAGTGAGTTATTCAGACCAGGGGAAAGTGCGCGCATGCATGCATATTTTTTTATATATATTTTTTTAAGGAACCCCTGTGTTTGACCCCCTTTCGCCTTCAGAACTGCCTTAATTCTATGTGGCATTGATTCAACAAGGTGCTGAAAGCATTCTTTAGAAATGTTGGCCCATATTATAGGATAGCATCTTGCAGTTGATGGAGATTTGTGGGATGCACATCCAGGGCACGAAGCTTCCGTTCCACCACATCCCAAAGATGCTCTATTGGGTTGAGATCTGGTGACTCTGGGGGCCATTTTAGTACAGTGAACTCATTGTCATGTTCAAGAAACCAATTTGAAATGATTCGAGCTTTGTGACATGGTGCGTTATCCTGCTGGAAGTAGCCATCAGAGGATGGGTACATGGTGGCCATACAGGGATGGACATGGTCAGAAACAATGCTCAGGTAGGCTGTGGCATTTAAACGATGCCCAATTGACACTAAGGGGCCTAAAGTGTGCCAAGAAAACATCCCCCACACCATTACACCACCACCACCAGCCTGCACAGTGGTAACAAGGCATGATGGATCCATGTTCTCATTCTGTTTACGTCAAATTCTGACTCTACCATCTGAATGTCTCAACCGAAATCGAGACTCATCAGACCAGGCAACATTTTTCCAGTCTTCAACTGTCCAATTTTGGTGAGCTCTTGCAAATTGTAGCCTCTTTTTCCTAATTGTAGTGGAGATGAGTGGTACCCGGTGGGGTCTTCTGCTGTTGTAGCCCATCCGCCGCAAGGTTGTGCGTGTTGTGGCTTCACAAATGCTTTGCTGCATACCTCGGTTGTAACGAGTGGTTATTTCAGTCAAAGTTGCTCTTCTATCAGCTTGAATCAGTCGGCCCATTCTCCTCTGACCTCTAGCATCAACAAGGCATTTTCGCCCACAGGACTGCCGCATACTGGATGTTTTTCCCTTTTCACACCATTCTTTGTAAACCTTAGAAATGGTTGCGCGTGAAAATCCCAGTAACTGAGCAGATTGTGAAATACTCAGACCGGCCCGTCTGGCACCAACAACCATGCCACGCTCAAAATTGCTTAAATCACCTTTCTTTCCCATTCTGACATTCAGTTTGGAGATTGTCTTGACCAGGACCACACCCCTAAATGCATTGAAGCAACTGCCATGTGATTGGTTGATTAGATAATTGCATTAATGAGAAATTGAACAGGTGTTCCTACTAATCCTTTAGGTGAGTGTGTAAATTATATATATATATATATATATATATAAAAATAACTTTCCCCTGGACTGAGTAACTCACTAGATTTGCAGCTATTCCTGTTTTTTACAGAAATAAAGTGGCTGGGGGTCTGGAGAACTGTTACTGAACTGAAGAAGAGCTGTTAACTGTTTGTTTATCAAATGCATTGACTAGACACTGATGGACAAACAGTTGTTATTGTTTTAATCAAAATTAATGCTAGGGACAATTCAGTACTCACCGGATTTTGGCACTACTCCCTACTAAATTCTACATTACTCCCCGTAGAATTAAATGATTTATTCACTTTCTGAGTAACAATCTGTGAAACATGGCGCTGCCACCACGTGCAACCTGCATGTAAGCAGTGCTTGTAAATAGCGGGCGGTCATTAACTGGTCACTATTTAACTACATGGTGTCAGGTTGGCCAGTGTGAGTGAAGTCCCAGAGTTAGACGTGAGAAGATTTCACATAGTGTTGTTTTTTTTAAAAAGCAATATTGCCACAAAAAACATGTTATTTTGGGACTGATTATGCACATGAGTAGATACCCGTGACTAAATTGCATTAGTAGTTAAACTGTGATGTTTTTGCAGACTCTTGGAAGCTCAGTTCTCTGACAGATTCAAATACTACCTTATTAGTCTGGCATGTAATCCAGGATATTGGGGAACCACATTCTTATATCCAAGACTGCACTTTACTACAATCTTACCATCAGTTTCATGTGTTATTCTACTTAACACAACCTTGTTCTTTTGTCTTTTGGCACTGTCCGTTTCTCTATTGTCTACACAGAAACAGTGAAAAGATACTGAGGACTGTATGTGGAAAGAATGACAATAAATTCCAACTTGACCTTTCTGTGATGAGCTAAATTTTAGGGTGAATTATTACTGTGACCAAGCCCCTTTGTGACCAAGCTTAAGGCATATTGAGTTTTCTCTGTAGGACGCCATCAAGCTCCTTCTGTCTCAGCTCCTACACCTACACGAATACGAGGACACAACACGTTTGTTTAGTGACATTCCTTTCACTCACCTGTTTCTGGGGAGCATCTGAGGTCGAGTTGCTCTTCTCAGGAGACAGCGTTTGAAACAGAAACCCTCTGCTGTTTCTGGGCGCCAGAGGGTTCCCCTCTGAGATCGACGCCAGCTTCTGGAGGACGGAGTGAGGCCGACTCAGCAGTGAACCTCTCCTCACCTGGAAGAAATCAATAAAACATAAGTCTCCGACTGACCTTGTACAGATGACAGGGAATATGTAATGAACTTTGGTGGTTAAATATTTAAAAGGCCAATTGCTGCCCTCCACTCACACCCCTCATTCTGCACCATTTTGGATCCTTTTCAGTTAAGTTTTTGTTTAATAGAATTCAGTACAATGCAGAATTCTGATATTTATTCTCCACTGGCCACACTAGCTGGTCCTCCAAAAAGCACTAACCCACTAAATCCTAATACTTGATGTCTGTCAGCCAAAGTGGCTGATAGAGTTAACAGACTTCTCAATTACAGCATTTGGCAGACGCTAGCTGTTTTTGCAACAACAACGATTCCACTTTAAAAAAAAAAAAAAAAAAAAAAAAAAAGGAGTAGTTGAATCGACTTGGTAAACACAAAATTAAACAGAACAAAAAGTCAGATAATATTTACAACTTTAAACAATTAGGGATGTTCCGCCCCGGTGACAGTGACGTACCTGTAAGGGCTGCGAGGATCTCTGGAAGGGGTTGAGAACTGATGAGGTCTTTTCTGGTTGTGGTGCCACAGGGGGCTCTGGGGTGAAAATATGTTTAAAAAGTTAGATAGTGAAATAGAATATAAACTGGCCAGTAAACTTGTCTCCCAATATCATAACCAAAACCAAGTAATAATAAAAAAAAGAATGCTCAAGTCAAATCACCTGTTTTATTTGTCTCATTGTTAAATTTGTCGTCCTGAAATGTTGTTAATTGTGACAGACCAGACGTGCATTTTGGGGGGAAAGAATCGGCTTTTCACATAGCTAACGAGAGAAAAATAAAAATGCAGAAAAGCTGTTGTGTAGCAGGTTGCAAATAACCTGTATCCATCCACTGCTGACCCATGTATTGGACTCCAGAGAACACTAACTTCTTTATTTTGACAGAATTATAAATTCCTTTTTGATGACAAATATGAATTCACTTCTATAATTCTGGAGTACACTCATACGGTATAGCAGCGTCACAAAATAAATTTCAGGCTAGCTCAAAAGCAGTTGGCCATTAACGACACTCAGCCAAATAATACCTGGTGATTCATTCAAATATGTATAGATGTCTCTCATTGAGTGGCAGAAAGACGAGTAGCAGTATTAGCTTGAATCAGCTAAACACATCTAAAATGGGAAAGAGCTGGACCACTGGTTCTTTGGTAAGCAGTAAGGATCACCGTAGAGCTAAACGCAGCCATGGTAACAGATGTTTTGCCACTCAGTCCATCTAGAGGCTGTTGGGTTTTCTAGCCGTCAAACCGGGGCAAAGATGTAACGTTTTACGAAGTACCCGTATGTGCCGGTCTGTGTTATGCGCTAATGTAAAGAACTTTGTAGCTTTGTTTTGATATGTGCTGCATGATTATTATTAAATCTCACAATTTATTTCATAGCAGAGTTTAGTCAGCTGGTTAAAAAAAATGCCCTTCATATCTGACTCATGTTCCTGTTGTCACATTGTCGTGTGGATCCGAGGATGGGAAGTAGCCAGAAACAAACACTCATGAATATTGCATGTTGCCACTCACTTTCAGTGCCATTGCTTTTTGTGGGAACACAAGAAATGAACACTGAAGTAACTTTCCATTTAGCAATGACAGCACTGGCAGCTCTGTCCCCTCAGTGTCCAGTTTAGTTTGCTGGGATACATGCCAGTGTTTCATTGCAGTCTGTGTGCGTGTCTCTCTGCAGCACATCAGGTCAAGTTACCCACAGTCATCTTGCTGACAGCAATAAGTACATCAAACAGCATATATCTTAGGAACTTAAACTCCAAGATTAGACTGTTTCAGTTAATCACACATTCATCCCTTCCTATTGAAACTACTGTCATGCTGTGTTTACAGATATTTAGGAAAGTCTATAGCTTGTTCAGCATTTACCTGACAGGATTTTAACGGGAGCTAAAAATAAATAAAATTTTAAAAATCTGATTGGTCTTTAGAGCCGATTTGACATTTTTGACAACTTTAAAATCTCAAACAGCCAGACTTCAACTCTTGAAACCTTACTTCTCAAAACCCCAGATGGTTCCTTATGTTTCATACCAAAGTTTAGATTTAAACAAAGGCAATGCTCTTAAACTTGGAAAAGACCCATTTGGTGATTTGTTTTAAAATCTTTTGTTTGCTATATTAAGGTTCAAGGTACATATAATTGTCATTCTGCAACATAGGGCTGCTTGATGAAATGAAAGTTGAGACTTAAGACTCATACTGCAATTATTATTGGACAAAAACACCTTTGGATTCTTCTTGTGAGGGCTCAAACCGACCTTTTCTCTGCAAAGTCTTGGCAGTCAGTTTCTTGGCCAGCTTCATAAATTGACTGTCTTCCTCTCCAATCTTCTCATCATCTACATCCAAAGCTTCCCCTTTCTTGGCTTTCTGTTCAGACTGGGAAGAGACACAGAGAAGAGGAATGAAGACAAAATAACAACGCCCCCTTGCAGAAGAGGGAGAGGACTCGAAAGCATGTATCATAAATGAACACACATTTAGCTTTTCTTAGTAGGTTTACAGGGATAACCCTCTTTTAAGCCTGGTAGAATTTTACCTCACTCTCAATACTTGCAAACACAAATTTACAAACCCTACGGCCTACCTGTTCTCTGAGCCACTGTTCTCTCTCTAGTCTCTCTTTTCTCCTCTGGACCTCAGACTGGTCCATATCATCATCTCCCTCCTCCTCTTCATCGCCTTCTGTTCCCGTCCTCTCCATGTTGAAACCATCATCTGGAAGAATTCAAAAAGTAACTCAATAGTTTGCTGGAGCAACTTTGTATTTTGAACTTTGAATTTAAATAATATGCAGCAACACATACGTACATACTACTTGTGTTGTGCGTTCTTTTAACAACTGTCTAAATTCCAATAAATTCAAAATTAATTGCCAGTATAAGTATGGGATTAAAGGTTTTTTTCCCCCCCTCATCATGTAAACTCACCCATATTCTTCCAACGGAAGCGGCGAGCTCGTCCTGGGCCATCAGAGTGCAGGTCGCCATCAGCAAGGTATCGCTCCTGGTACAGCCTCAGACGACGCTTGTCATCGTCCATTATCTGCTTCCTGAAGGACCAATGTGGGTTGGATGATATTTTCCATTTCTCAGTTTAATAAACCACTAAATTTCAGATATCCACGCTATATTAATACTATAGGATATTTCTATTATGATTGGAGCAAATAATTGTATTAGTGCAGTTTAAGCAAGCAGAAACCCACAGACATAAAAGATCATTTCCAACAACGAGTACAGATTTGTTTACATGTTTGACAGTCAGGAAGTAGCATAAACCTTACTGAGTAAATCCACAAGACACTGAACGACTGCTAACAACTGAAGTTCAGGCAGTTGATGACCCACAAATCCTGTGATAACGGCAATTGTGTTCTTGTACCAAAACATGTGCAAGAATATGCAGTGCACTTTGAAGTGAAAAGGCCAAACGTGCAGAGGACACACAACTCATGTCAATGGTTGGAAGGGACGATCATAATCTTCACATTTTTATCTTTCGACTGTCAACACCAACTGACTCAGACTGGAACAAACTTGGCCCAATCAGTCATCACACTAAAATCATTAATATAACAGTTGTAGTGGGTGTCCCCGTCTTTTGGTCAAAAGACGTAAAAACATCTATTTGTGCAACTGACTATTTCAGTTGTGAACACAGCACTGAATTGCACAAAAATAAAATGCTCAAACTAGAATGAGATCTGTTACTCACATGTGGATCTTGTTGACCTGGTCCTGTAGCTCCTCATCAGAGGGAAGCTCCTCAAGAAGCTCCTCTTCCTCGTATTCACTCCCCCCGTCTCCGTCCTCATCGTCGCTGCCCAAGTCACTCCCTGACAGCTCAGCCTCCGAGTCCACGTAGTCAGTCAAACGCCTGTGAACATGATGAAAGAGACTCTTAAGACCTGTGCTGCAGCGTGGATTATCTGATGCAAAATGACTGCAACCATTTTCCTATAATGTCATACAGATTATTTAACACTGGTTATGTATGCATGGAAGCATATTAAGTTTTAATTGAATCTACACTTACATTTTCTTCTTTTTCTTAATCCGGTGTGATGCAAACACACCCTGCATCTCCTCCTCTTCCACATCATTATCCTCTGCCTCGTCTCCCTCTCCTTCCTGTTCGTTTTCCTCGTCACCATCCTCATCATTGTCCTCCTAGAAAACCCACAATTCATTTGTCATTTGCATTGTAAAAAGGCACACATCCAGTATGTTATTTATACATGAAGTGGAACTTTGGTAGATCGATAAGAGATGTGAAGCTCTGGTCAGTGCATGTAGCCACGCCCCCCCACAGACTAGGGCTTCAACAAACGATTATTTTCAATTAATCTGTCGATTATTTTCTCGATTAATAGCTTAGTTATTTGGTCTTTAAAATGTCAGAAAGTGGTGAAAAATGTCGTTCAGTGTTTCTCAAAGCCCAAGATGACCTCAAATGTCTCGTTTCAGATTCAGTTTACTGTCATACAGAACTGAAGAAACTAGAAAAGAAGATTTAAGAAGCTTTACTTACTCAACCCGTTTAATCGATAATGAAAATAACTGGTGATTAATTTAATAGTCAACAGGGAACTGATTAATCGTTGCAGCTACTACAGACCTCTAATGGGTAGCTTAGCAGGGACAATTTGGCATGTGTTGACAAGCTTACCTGTTCACTGTGACTTTCCACATCTGACAAAAGCCGGAACTCGCAGTCCTCCTCCTCTTCTTCCTCCTGATACTCTTCCTCCACTGGCTTCTTTTTACTTTAAATAGAAAAATTAATGCAAGATTCTTACAATGCATATAAATATTCCCATAATCCATTATAAAAAGGCTGTGAAGTAACGAGCAAAAAAATGCATCATAAAGTATCACAAAAGGTCATAATCTTAGAGATAGTGTTATGTCAGCAAAATATAATCTTTGATTTTGCATTATTACAGTTGTACTGTACCCGTTTGGTGCTGGTGAGGTCGTGTGAGGAGAACCTAAAATTGGGAACAAAGGAGGCCAATCTAAATATAATTTAACTGTAGGAAAACAATTCAAAACACATGCACATAACATTTGGAAATACAGACAACGATACAAATTCTAACAAAAAATATTTAACGATTAAGTATTTAGTCAATTATAGATCCTTTGGTTTAATCAGGCTCTATTGACAAGTTATTGGTTTAATTTCTCTTCACAATCTACTCTTTAGTTTGTAAACACTAAACAGATTAAAATTAACAGCTTATTATATAAGTTACTAGCCCGACATGTCCCCAGTGTTAACCTGTCTGCAAATTGAATTCTGTTCACCATAGGTTACTTCAGCCTTCAAATAAGCAGTTTAACTGTAACTTTAACTGTACATGTTGTTCTCATCGAATAAATGGGGACAGCACACACACTCTTTTACCTGGACTCGGAAATTTCCCTGAACACAGGTCCAGCAGCTGATCCATGGTATCATCAGATTCTGCATGCTGTCCTCTCTCCTTACTCTGGCCCATTTCCATCTGCTCCTCTCCTGCTTGTGTTGGTGGAAATGCTCCAGAGCACAAGCCAAGCAGCTCATCCTCCTGTGTTGCTCCGAGGCCTCCAGCCTGACCCGAGCCGCTCTGCGCTGTCCCAAAAACACCTGAGCACAACCCCAACAGCTCCCCCATGTTGGCATCCATTGCATTTTCATCTAAGCTGTCCAGGATTAACTGTCTCTTGTGGGAGCGAGGTGCACCAGGGCGTGGGCCCACATTAAGGAAGCCATCTGCATCTAGTAACTGGGAATGGGTGTCGTCCTCCAGGGAGAAGCGACCTTGGGAGTCTCCTCCCAGACCAGGGCCAGAAGCTGCTTCACCCAGGGGCCCCGAATCTGCTCCTGGAGATGGAGGTGCATACAAGTCTTGGGAGTCCTCAACAGGAAGGCAGAGGGAGGGCTCAGAGAGTTTGCCAGAACTCTGATGGGGGGGGAGAAGAAAATTAAACCACTTAATTTTGAAGCAAACAACAGAACATAAATGGTTAAAGAATTTTCTTTGTCCCTTTCTTTGTTTTTTAGTTGCCTTATCACGATTGTATGTAATGTAATCCTGTTTATCTTGCCTCGAGTCTTTGGGAGAAGTCCTTGTATAAGCGTTTGGCTTTCTACCACTCCTGCACAAGTTCTTGTTTACTTCTATTTCAGGTAAATGTGAGTATATGTAGCTGTAAGTGTGTCTAATATATCTCATAGTAGTTGTATTTTTTAAACGAGCAAACGAATTAAGAAAATGACGACAATAAAATTGTGCACCCCTATATCATAAGCAGATTTCTCTGTATGCCTCATCAATTTGACTAACTGGAAACACTTCTCTTTAACTATGGGCATGTTAAGGAAAATTCAAACCCCTGGTGATATCATTTTTGATTCTCCCAGTATTAAACCTAAAATCCCTTTTATCTCACCTTAGAGGCAGAGCCGAGGAAGCTTGGTCTGAAGAGGCAGGGAGAAGGGGACCGGAAAATGGAGGAGTTGGAGACGCTTCTTCCTGTGGAGCGCTGATGATTGACAGGCTGGTAGGAGGTTATCATAGATGCTGCAAGCTCAAAGCTGCTGTTGTGGCTGTTGTCTTTTACCAAGGAAAGAGAGTCATCCTCTTCTGTAAACAAGACAGATGACAGAGTGAGAAAAATACTGTACAAATTTTGCACACAAAATACTAAGTGTCATGCTGAATCGAGCACTTTCAAGTAGAATGAGAAGGCACATTTTTCGATCAATATATTTAAAAGCATTTCCTTTCATTAATAATAACCAACAATAACTACATTAGTCTGTGTGTAAAAAGACAAACTGAATGTCTTTCACTACCCACCCATCTTATTGCCACTGTCCTGCCCAGAAAGACCAGACCTTCTTCCGCCATCACTAAAAGGAGAACAGAGCATGAAGCTTCACTATCAATAGACACACAGAGTAAACATCCAGTACATGCAAATGATGCCAATACGCAGCTATTTTACAAGCAGTTTTTTTTCTCCTAAATAGGACAACCAGGTAATGATTAAGTGATACTTAAATGGCCACACTTGGGATTTGTCCATTCATTTAATGCAGTATCAGCATTTCACTTAAGGTGCATGCTCTAAAGTTACAATGTGAAAAAGACACACTCACCCAGTGCGAGAGCAGGAATTGCCGGGGAACAGCATGAGTGTGTCATCGGTGTTAACTAGCTCAGGAGTTGGCGAGGGTCTGTTCAGTGCCACACCAGAAGGGCTCCTGATACTCTGGGCCACACTGCCTTCCTCCTCCTCCTCCTCCTCTTGCTCACCATCATCACCTCCCAGTAAGTCATCTACACCCTGGTTTAAAGAGAAGATCAGGCTTGATGTGAGTACAAAGGGCATAGATGCACAAAAGTGTCTTAAGTAATTTGACTGTTTCAGCCCGCAGTGTTCAGCGGAAAGAAACAAACATCCTCTTACCTCTTCTTCCTCAGACTCATCTGTCATGTCTTCCTCCTCCTCCTCCTCTTCCTCCTCCCCACAGTCTTCATTGTCTAGGCGATTCAGCTCGGCTTTGCGCACCCTCTCCTCTTGTCTCCGTTTTGCCATGGCGAGCTGCAGGCGCTGCTTCAAAGTCAGCAGCTTCTCTCCTATGGAGAGACAGAAAGAGGAGCTTAGTCATGTCAAGACGCAAACCACGAAATATACGTCTACCTCTGCACCCGACGGCCCTGCCCCTGAGAAAGTCTCCTTTATGTTGATATCTCTAAAAGGAGGTCAAGAATTTAGTCTCTTGTCAAAATTAAAATTTCCCAGAAACCCCGGCCTCTATGTGCACATGACATGTGTATCCATACCTGGTTTGGTTGGCACAGGCTCCTCTGCTCCCTCTTTAACAGTGACAGTGACTGACTCAGAGTGCAGCTCTTCCTGGCCAGACGGGGCGCTGTCTTTGCGGATGATGTTGAGCTGCATCGTACGCTCTCCTTGAGGGCGTGTGGGAGCCTGGACATGACGAAGGTAACGCTCTTTCAGGGCCTCCACACCTAAAAGAAGAGGCGTGAATACCCGTTCTGAATGTAATAGAATGGTTTATTCTGACTCATGATACATTCTTACTTATGTTCTTCTAACGATAATGAGGATTTCAGCACTCACCGCGGTTGAGCTGTGGAGGCTCAAGCTGAACAAAGGCTCCATCATCTGGACACAATTTAGCGACAGGCGGGGGGTCCAGTCCAAGCTCCTTCAGCCTGGCCAATTTGTCCTTCTTAGATTTGGTGGGTTGCTGTGCTGAAGGTTTTGCTGCAGCTGGATCAGCTCTCCCACACTGAGCGCCTAAAGGCTCTACCAAAGACCCAGATGCAGGCTCTTTTAGCAGGTCAGACGTTACTGCTGTCTGACTTTGTTCTAAAGGTGCAGGAGAGGTTTCTTCTCCACAGTCAGAAGCGGGTCTCACTACTCCATCTGTTGTGAGCGACTCCTGCAGACTCTCAGAGAGGTAAAGCATCGGTCCAGATTCCTGGTCGGGATCTAGGCTTTCGATTCCTTCTCTGGCCTGGCTGAGGCCCTCCTGCTGTGGGGACGAGGTGGAAGCAGGATGATTGATGGGCTGGATCTGATAGGACGACAGATCTAGAGAATGCGACAAGTCCTGCTCTGTGGAGAGCTGCAGAGGCTCACTCTGTGGGTTGGTGGTAGGTGGCGACGGCGGAGGAGGAGGAGCTGACGGCGTCTCCAACATCACGGCTGAATACTTAGCAGATCTGAAGAGAATGAGATTATCATTAAGTTGTAAGTTTATTATGGCAGTCTTGAAACTTTTATTTTTATGATTCTGTGTGTGTATGGGTAGGTGACAAATCCATTATAAAATAAAATTTGTCTGAGAAATTTGTGTCAACAGCTGGTAATTTTTGTCAAACATGGCTGCTGCCCTGATTTATGCATGTTATTTGTATGTTTGTCTTTACTTCAACAACGCCATGGCAGGACCCTCTGGCCTGGCTCTCTTCTTAAAGAACTGGTCGATGGTCTTTGGCTCAGGGATGTGGTAGGGCAGGCCAAGCGTAGACTCTACAGTGACAGAAGAGCAAGATGTGGCCTCAGTAGCATGGAACATATGAGATATATCTTTTAAAGTCGGAATGACACATTTCAAATTATGATCCAAAACGTCCCCATCTAGAGGTTTAATTGGCATGACCAGAGAAGTTGTACTTGTCAGAAAACAGTCAACAAATTGCCAAAACAGATAAAAGACAATTGAAGTGCTTCTTTTAACTAACCTCTAATCAGCCTCTGAGATTCACTGTGGAGCTGCTTTATTGCCTCTTTGCTGGCGCGCGCAGCTTTCCTCTCCTGAAAACATCACATATGTAGAGAATGAAACCGCGGCTTGGTATCAAAATTGCAGCATTTACAATAAAGCCAGGCATTTTGGCACTGCATACCGCACGTTGGGGTTTCTCTGGTGCCTCTTCATCTTCCTCCTCTTCCTCATTCAGGAGAGGATCCTGCAGCAATATTGAACACTGATTACACAAACGCCTGTCCAGACAACATCGGCAAAATGCCAAGCCTAACTTTGCGCCACTCTTGTCCCCAAGTTTCACAGAAATGTCATCAAATTCTGTTTCGAGAATTGTGTACCATAGTAGTAATCTGCTGAATACAGTCATAACCACAAAAAAAGGGCTTCAATTCCCACTAAAGCCTTTACATATAAGTACAGTTCTTGTTTTGATTCTGATTGAAAAGTAAACATAATTTAATTTTTTTTAAGTCACAGGAAATAATGTTGATTGAATGGACGATTACAACTGTACCTTATGTTTTTTCATCTTTTGCTTGACAGCAGCTCGTATGGCCTCCAAAGACTCTTCTTCTTCCTCATCGTCCAGACCGGTGTCAAAAAGGTCTGTGTCGCCTAGCAGACATCCACTGTCATTCAGAGCCCGAGGGAGAGGCGTGTTCTGAGGAAATGTGTACAAAGTTGTCTTTAATTGTACAATACAATCCGCGTCAAATATTCTTATTCGATAACAATCACACAATTCTGTTTAGATTATTTCCACAAAGATTATTCCTAATGGATACAAACATTGGAATGAGAAACAATGATCTAAATATGTAGATAAATATTTTGTGACATGTACTTTTGTATACAAAATACTTTTTCAAAGCTTAGGGTCCAATTTTTCTCTCATTTCCATACTAGATTAGAGCAGGAACCTTGAGGCACCAAACACACTGCACAAAGAATTCAGCGGCAAAAGAATAAGAAAAAAATTAAAAAGAAAATGCCAAGTGGGACTAACCTCATCCTTTTCAGAGAACCTCTCTTTCTTCTTCAGTTGTTTTACCGCTTTGCTACGCTTCTCCTTTTTCTCCCGATGCCTCTGGCTCTTCTCTCTCTTCGTCCGTTCCTTTGTCGATTTCACTTCCCTCCTCACCTCTTCATGTTGCTCCTCCATTTCTCCACATTTGTCTTGCTCAGGCTCGCTGTCTTCGCTGTCAACTGGAGCACGGCTTATCCTCTTGCTCTTCTGCGCCCCTCTCTCTTTCCTCTCACCCTTCTCTTGTGTCTCTCCAGTCTCCATCTCCTCTCCGCTGGAAGCAGATAAGACCAGTGCTTCGGCCATGTGACTATTCTCCGCAGCCACTGCCTCCTCTTCCTCACTGTCGCTGTCTCTGATGGCATTACGATGAGGCTTTCTGTGAACTGTGATGTCTTCGTCATCATCAGAATCTGCAAACAAAATAAACAGCCAAATTGCACAATTGTTATTCCAAATCCTTTAAGGCTTCTTTGTGAGGCAGCGTAATACCAAGTAAGCTGTGCTAGGTGGACTAAAACCAAAAGAATCATTATGCATCATGCTTGTATGTTATTTTTGTTTGCTTGTGTATTACTCAATGATTGATGTGAACTCAGTCATTTTCATCTTTACTTGAACTTTAAATAAATGTGATTCTTCAAAATGATTCTTCTGTTGCAGCATAAGTATTTTTAACCTGTAGGTGCATGCAGTCACATCCTTGAGGCACTGTTTATTATTTTTTTTACACAGCATGTGTTAAATTACAATTTGAGAAAATGCATAGGACAGGCAGATTTCTCTTTAGGTGAGTATTTTTGATTGTGGGATGCCATTTAAATAGTAAATTTGACTGTTACACTTATTGTAAACTTTGTGGTTAAGTGTCCTCTGAATCCTAAACTGTACAAGGGTAATAAGTTTGCTTGGCTCTGACCTGTCTCTCAAAGGCTGGATTATAATATATTGTTTTGTTACTTCACCTGGAAGCTCTTCTTTATTGTTAGCGGTCTCCATGACCATCTCCTCTGCTGGAGAACCCATCCCACTGTCTGAATCACTCTCAGTTGCAGGTTGGGCCAGAGCTGGGAGCACCTCAGCCTGGTTACAGCAACACAAAACAGAATTAACACATCATGAAGTGCATTTTCTACAGTATGGTGGCACTACAGTCTGTTAGGACTGATCTCTGGCACGAGGCTCCACATTCAATGTAATACAGCCTTAATCTTAGACACATTTAAGAGTCCAGGGTTCCTTATGCTGCTCTATGAACTTATTTCACGGATAAAAATGGCAGATTACTTGCATTTAATCCTTCCTTTAAATCACTGCATTACTTTTTCTATGGTATCAAAATTATACCACGTGCCTGTATTTGTCAAACAAATGTCAGGCAAATTAAATTTTCTTTGCAAAGTCAGTGTGAAGCATGGAGGTCAACGGTGTTTCTTAAGACAGGCTGTTGGGTTACACGAGTGGCGCCTTGCAATAAACCAAACAATGAGCACGTACGTTAGCTAGCGACATTGCTTCCTTTCAATGATTAGAGTTAACTTTGCTACATGTAACATAACTTGAAAAAGTCGCCGGTACAAGTGATGGATTTCCGAGCGTAATCACAAAGATCAGACTGCTTAGATATAATATTTTAACAGAAGTCAACAAAGAAAAGTGCTTAACCGATGTGACCAGGCCAAGAAGACAACCATCATCCCAGCTGGCTAAACCTAACCTAGCGAGCTAGCTAACTGGCTAACACTTTCTGCAATTAGCAAACTTAGTTCTCTCGCCAGTGTTTCCCCATAACTTATAACTAACTGTCTGATACTCTCACGTTAGATGGATGTCCAAACTAGCTAGAGATATCTGAAAGCATGGTCTCACCTGTTGTTGAGAAAGGACCAGGCTCATCTTTGTCCGCCGGCTAGTTTACGCTCTTTTGTAAAATAAACCAGCCGAGACAACTCTTCGTCGTATCTCGGCAGCCACAGCGGCCGTCGTAAAGTAAATGTTTGGGTGACTAAAGGCTATTTTAAACGTCTAAAGCACATTTAAAATACATTTAGCCGAGCTACTCCTCTTCCTCCCGCCTCTTCCACACCGAATATAAATTTTGATATTTCGCGCGCCGTGACAGCTGGCCCGCAGTTTTTCGTCACCGAGGTGTCAATCGACCCGTTCTCGCTCTCCCATTGGTCCATTCGGGAAGTTTGGATCCGCCCAGTGTGACGACACAGTTTAGTAAAAGCTGATTTTAAATACCGGGAATGCAGGGGCGGGCGGGGCTGAGTGTTTTTACAAAAAGAGAGGGGGATTTGAGGCTTTGTTGAAAGAGAGACGCACACACTTCAATTTAATGTATACATATAAGTGGGTATATGTCATATAATATATTTAATTACTAACATTAATTTATCTTACAGTTTCTGACATTACTGTGTGTAAAATGTTTATTTTAAAGATAAATATTAAAGATAAATTGACCTACCAATCACAACACAACAGATTGGCACCATAAAGATGTATAATATAATGTAAAGCTTACATACTTTGTTCCCTTTAGTCCTCAAAAAGAAAATATACCTCCAAAATTAGGCTGCACACAAAAGTAAGCAATGCACATTCAAAGATACAGTCACATTATGTATTATTATAAGTTCCAACAAAATTAAAATAAATAAACACAATTAATGCATTGACAAAATTGTGCAAAACTTTGAATTTACAATACAAGTCAAGTCACTTTATTTATATAGCACATTTAAAAATAACAGGAGTTGACCCAAAGTGCTTTCCAAGTACACAACACACAAATACAAGTATACATGAACACAAGAACAAAGAGTATATACCATTATGTATCCAAATACACAATACACACTACACAAATGCAAATACTCTTACAGAACAATTAATTGTTATAGATTGAGTAACCCACAAATATAAAGTATTTTAAAATAGCTTCAGGTTGACCAACTATATAAGAAAAACAATAAAACAACACACACAGGCCTGTTTTCTTCATTATAAGTAAAAATACTATAATTTAAGTACATTTTGCTTATAATACTTATAATACTATGTTGTTTTACCTGAGTAAGATTTTGAAAGTGTTTACTTGTACTTAAGTATTTTCACACAGTTGTGTTGCTACTTAAGTAAAGTATCTGATTCAGTGCTGAAATGAATACTCTAGATCTTTTACTTTGCAGCTGGTAAAGGTAGGGCTAATTTTAGCTTTATATACTGCTAGGTAGTTTAATCCATAATAATACATCATAATTTACTTTTTAAAATTATTTGAGTATTTTTTTTCCAATGAAGTAATTCAAGTACCAATTTACTTAAGTTCAGTACAATTATTATTGTATTCAAGTACTTGAGTACAACATTTGAGTAAATGTACTGCTAATTTAAATACTTTCTTCACCACTGCTTCTTTTCCAAACTATATATTTGTTTATATGCTTTACTCACTTTCTCATATTCATATCTACTCATGATATTTCACTGTATCTTACTATCCTGCAACCCTCCCCCAGCTGACTGGGATCATTAAAGTTTGATCCACCAGTGCAGTACAGCAAATTACACATGCGCACAGTGGGCGCATAGGCTTCTATCTGGCGCATGCGCACTTACAAATCCCCAGAACCAGCAGCGGGGGCTCAGGTCAGTCAGTCAGTCCAGTCAGCAGTCATCCACGCAGCTATCTATATTCCCTTTTCTTAAATTAGCCACTTTAAGCTTCGCGATACCGCCCCCAATTTCAGCGTCGGTACGGAGCCGCCAGGCCGGGACAGAGACGGAGAGAGAGGCCTCGGCCATGGAAGCGCTCGGACCCGGTAAGACATTTTAAGAAAACTGAAAGCGAGCGAGGAGCGGGGAAGCGCGAGCCGTGTGTGGGGCGCGTGTGCGCAAATGCGTCGCTTCACTGGGGGCCGCGGCTGCAGCGAGGCCTCGACGCGCTGAGGGGAAAACAAACCGAGGCCCAGCCCGAGTCTCTGTGTGATTGTGTGTGTGAGTTTATTTACACCGAGTGGAAGACAAGCGTCTTGTCTGTACGCGGAGGTTTGGTGTTTTTTATCGGTTATCCAGTAATGTCTACGCGGTTTTATTTATCTGAAGCACGCACAGCTCGTCGTGTCGGGGCTGGCATTGTGTGAGTGGGGATTTAACTAGGACCTTCCTTCCTCCTTCCTTCCGCGTCGTGGTGTGTTTACGTTGATGTTTGTTCACGATGTATGTTCTTTTTTTTTTTTTGGCCACATAATGACGACCTAATTTCTAAATGTGACCGCTCAATCCTGTCGAAATTTGACAAAATATCCTACCTGTATCAAATCTGCTCTGCTACACCATCTATATTTGTACCATCGCCATCAGGAACAGCGCGTCTCTTCGGACTGCCCTCGTCCAACATGATAGCGATGGGTGGAAAACACAATAAATACCAATGAAACGCAAGTTACTTGCGTTAAATGAGCGAACGTACGTATTTTGTGACTTGTATTTTGGTTTTACGCGTCTGTGAGAGCACAACAGGCTCGGATGGCGCTTTTATCGATCCATATCTGCAGGCCAGCTCCATATTATTCATCTCCTATATGATAACAAAGGCACTTATTTTTGCATCGATCAAATGATAAAGTATGCTGTTGAAAAATGAACCACACAGCTGTACACCCAGCGATATAATGCATCTGAATTGTCACACCATGCAAAATGTGTTTACCTAATTTTAAAATTTTCCTACAAACAGTTAATTTTGTTTGCGAAATGCGCCCTTACATACAAGAGGAACTGAATGCAGCTTGCAGAGCAAATCAATTTTTTGTGCAACAGTGAAGCTCTTGTTTGTTTTTGTTTTTTTGAATTGCACACACACATTTCCCACATGCTCAAGAAGAAATGTGGTGACATTAGGAAAATCAAGATGTACTGTAAGGAGGACATTTGGCCAGCAGCAGTATATAAATGTCAAGCAGATGCATTGTGCTGCAGTGTGAGGGTCCTGGGGAATGTTTGGAGACAATAATAATGCACAACTATCCACAGGTGTGTTTGAGCCAGGGCAGCCTCTTTATTACACCTAATCAGTGCAAGCCATCAAGGTTTTATCCATGATAACAGCAGCTGCAAGATTTACCTGGTACTTGTAGGATTTCCAGCAGCAGGGATGATTGTATTTAATGAATGTTTACCTTGTGGAGTGTGGTTGCAGGTTTCACTTTTTCTCATGTTAGTAATGATAAATGGGCATACAGAGAGATTGTAATTGGGTCCAGCATCAGACCTTTTTACATGCATAATGGCCTAAGTAGTATGCATCTTTATAAGAGCATTGTGTGCAAAATGCCTAACTAACCCCAACAGTTTTATTAAGTGATATATACTTTGTGTGATCTCACTCTAATGTTGTCAGTTTCAGTTCTGTGTCAGCAAAGTGATATAATAAATAGTGCTATATTGCTTTTTTTTAAGGTCCGTAGACAAGCTACCAGTAATATCCAACCCTGCATACAATGCCCCATGTGGGAACAAAGTGTTCATATTGCCGTTTTTAATTAGAAAAGTGCCTTCGTCAGCCTCCTCTGGTTCAGAAACATGCACATTTTGGCATTTGCTTCAGTGTGGCTGGAATTCTTAAGTCAGGGCCCCCCAAAGGTCGTGTGTAATGATGTGCTGTAGGCCTGGGGTGTCTTTACAAAGCAGCTGGTTTAATCTGTTTTTTATTGTTTCCAAATGTTAGGTGCAACTGCTTGAAGTGGTGTCCAGATACAAAACGAAGCAGTTCGCACAAACGCGCAGATTGTCGCTCTAGGTGTCGTGAACGGAGGCAAAGATGAGACTACTCCACTCGAACACTTTCAACTTGTCTCAAATTCATGACTCCATTCAGGGCAAAAGCCTGGAGTGACATACATTTAAAAAATAAATAAATAAATACATTTCCTGGTAAAATGTGGGGATGTTTGATGATCTCTGAGTATTTAACATAGACTGGTGATGCTGTACTACCATCCGGGAAATTTTTGTGGCCAGTGAACATGGACTGCAGAAGTGAAATATATGTAAAAAATTGATATCGCTTGCCGTGAACTAATCACTTACACGTCAAAATCAGTTGCTTCTGAAGCAACAGCTGAGAATTGGACCCCCCTACACAGAGGGGTGCATAGTCCCTCCTTGTGAATGGTCTTTCTCAGTACCTCTGCCTTTTCCACAGTCCAGTGTAGTACCATAATCCAGGTGATTTGCAGGTATGGGTGTCAGCTCGCTCCCTGTTCAGTGTTGTTAGTCTCTGACTCATCGCCAGGCCTAGCCATCATCCTCATGCTTAGCTTAAGCCCAGCTGTCTTTCTCTTTGGTCACACGGTGGTTACCACGGACACACTTAGCTTCACAGCACAGAAGTAGCCAACCCCTCTCAGCAAATGTGAGCACGAGGCACCCAATCTAAATAATAGTTTTTAAATATGGGATCAATGAAGAGAGAAATTAGCGTTGCAGGACAGGCGGGACGATAATCTTCGTAGCGTGTTGTTTTGCGCATTCAACAAGCTAGTTGTCAGTTTGTCAAAGACTACATAAGGAGCAGAAAGACTTGATGGCCTCCAGTGCATGTGTCTCTTTCTGAGCCAGGAAAGGCTAATTTCACTTCCTCTGACTCAAAGTAGATGCACCACTGTCTCACTTGGAGCAGAAGCATAAAAATTATGGTGGAAGCTTGATTCATGGGTTGATTTAAATCGAGGCCTAAATGCCATCTTTTGACAAGTCTGTAGGGTTTCTTTAAGTTGACTTTAAGTTATTCTGTCAAAAAAAGGGACTGACTGTCTCACTTAAAACAGTGTTTCTTGTGATGGACATAATGTTCTTATTTGTAGCTTTAATTCTGATTGAGTAGTACTCTGTATTATTGGATGGCCATGTGACGGTTCCAATGAATTTTATCATATTAGAAGCTGTTGGGTGGGTGGTGTTTTTGTGTTGTTTGTTCCGCCTGCCTGTGCCCTCTCATCTTCTCCCCATGATAGGCCTTGTCCATCTTGGGACACTAGAATACTCTCATTTACATAAATTTAGGCCAAATATTTTTTTTCCCCCTAATCATAGCAGCAGTACAAAGTACTGAAGTGACCCAACATTTACACCAAGCGTTACTCTAGTTCCTTATTTGTATACAACATACCCATGCTTGTTGTTTTTTTGCTTGTTGGATCTGCTTTGACGTCACTTGGTTAGAATAACTATTTTGTTGATGGATGGAAAAATGTTTTCAAGCAAAAATAGTGAGGGGGGGGGGAAAGAAGCTAAAATCTCCGGGTTTAGCTTCTCACGTGAGAGGATTTGCTGCTTTTTTGTCATGTATCAATGGCAACAGAATATCTTGGGGATTTGAACTGTTTGCACAAAACGGGACAATTGAAGAAGTCACCTTGGTCTTGTGTTGATGTTTCACAGATGAATTGTAAAATAATCATCAGATTAAGCATTAAGTAAACTTGTATTTATATAACACCTTTCAAAACCCTACGTTACAGTTTTACAAAAGGTTAAAAGAACAAAACACCCAGAAGAGTTTTCCTGACCTGACTCTCAGGGAACAGCGAGTACACAGCCCAGCCAGCCTTGAACGAGCTGCAATTAGTCCTCTCTGATACCCCAACCCATTCTAGCTGATCAGTTATTATAGCTTCCTTCTTAGTTGAAGCCCTAAAGTGTGTTACCTTTCAGAGTGATCAGCTGCATGTGTGTGTGTATATATATCCATTGCCTTTTCACTTGTTTGTGCACAAACTAACATTAGATGGTGCTGACTGAAGATACACAACTAATCCAATCAATTGGAGGGTAAGTTAGAAACTCAGAGCTAAAATGACTGGTATGTTTCTGTTCTAATTAATAAGTAGACAATCTGCAATTGTTTACATAATCATTAATAATTTCAGCCAAACACTTGCTCCAGCTTCTCAGTTGTGAGAATGTGTTGCTTTTCTTTGTCTTGTGTGTTTGTAAACACACTAGCTTTGGGCTGCTGTTCGGACAAACAAGCATTTTGAATACATGCCCATGAACTTGGGTTAAGACATTTTTTAAATGTTTAAACTGACATTTTTGTAGACCGAACCGTTAATCCACTCATCAAATAATTGGCAAATTAATCAATAATGAAAACAATTGTTAGTTGCAGCCATAAACTATTTAATGATCTTACCGTTGAGGTTGGTGGTGTTGACTGTAATAAGTAGACGGGTTGGGGAGGAAGGATGGGTTCAGGCGTTTCATATCGAGACACACATTTGTGTGTAGTAATGTGGCAGCTGAGGAGGCTATATATAGGCACAACTGTTTTTGGTGAAAGTGGAAGAGGAAGACCTCAAACTTACTGCACCACTCACATACTGTAGGGTAAAACTCTTTGTAGTACCTGTACGTGCACCCAGCGAGCAGAAATAAATACAAACCCGTGTACAATGTCAATTCAATACACAGGGAATCTGCAGGTCTTGAAGTCTTAAAGCATTGAATTTTGTTTCATTGAGAAGGCCTTAGAAGGTGATAAGTGTTAAATCCAATTTACCAAAGTAATATTAAAATTAGTAAATGTTTTCTCTTGCCTTGTGTAGGCAGTAACAATGTTTTTGTTACCGATTTGTGTGCTGCTAAATAAATATCCATACACAGCATCGACAGAACACACCAAAATGGTGGCATACAGGTATACATGCACTTGAATTACTATGCAATGCACTTGAAATTCTTTAGTGTGCTTGTGGTGCATAATGTGGAATTTTATAATATTCAGATTGCAGCTTAGCGTAGAACACTTTGTACGCCTTTTGTTGCCATCAGTAACAAGGCCAGTAGGACAAAGTAGAATGAATCATCAGACGATTTTAGCTCACGTCGTGACAAAGAAAAGCAGGCATGCAACGAATAGCTTCTTATTTGAGACTATCATAAACAAAATGATGTTACAATCAAGCTAATGGTTTATTTGGAGGAGGAGGCGGAGGAGTGGGTAGTAGGGAGAAGGGGAGGTGATTTGGGGCCCAGGCTAGATGAGGGCATGTTAGGAAGCGTGTTTTCAGGAAGACGATGGGGAGGGTCCCGATTGTCCGTGCTCTCGCGCTTCACTTGCTAACTGGAGCGTGTGGGTGCATGGAGTTCAAGAGGACCCCTGCAGTCCCTTAGCTGTCAGTTGACAAAAGCATTAAGCGGCCTCCCCCAACCTCTTTCAATACACAATATTATTTTAACTTTGTGTGTGTGTGTTTGCCTTTTGCGTATTCTCTCAATCTTTCATAGGCGCTTTTTCTTTTGTCTCAGCTAAATTCAGAGAAAAGATGTTTGTGTTTCCTCTTTGATGCTTTTGTACAGAGTGACACATGGCAGGCCAAAACAACGGCAGGCATCCCAATGCCTCCTTCCATGTCATTGTCAGTGAGTAGTGTTGATGTGTGAAATGGATGATTTGTCATTACCATTGTAGCTAGATGGGACCTGAGGTCTTAAGCTTGTATATGTGCTGTTTTGAACCGATGACTTCAGGACTCAAGACAATGTTTCCTCTGTTGCCTGCAGCTTGTTCTGCTGCAGTGTGAGACTCACAGGCACTACACCTGTGTAGATGTGTACACATGCAGATACTGTATGTGGCGTGTACAGTGTGTAACGGCACCCCTCCATATGGCCCTGCTGCTGTCTGTCTGAGAGGAGCTCGGTCTTTGTCTCGGCGTGAGGGGTGGGCGCCCTGTGTGTCTGGGTGGAGCTGGGGGCGGGCTGAAATATAATTGGAGGTCATTGTTTTGCCATCCCTTGTTGACCCAAGTAGGTCAGGGGCCAGAGTTATGGATCAATCAAAGCGTGTTAGTGGGGCTGTGAGGCCTTCCAGTGCATTCAAGCGGGTGTCACTGATTGGATGGTTTGCAACAAGCTTGCCGTTACGCCACGCACATTCATCTTTAAAATTTGCCATTTAATGCAAAGATAAGCGCACACGCTCTCACTGTCGCCACCTTTGTTCACATTCAAAATAAATGCCAAACATGCTTCGTTTGACAGTTAATTATTTTTTGGCGTGGAATCCACACATCTCAGGGGTTTGGTAAATTCAGTCTTCACTGAGAGGAAGAAAGTGACGGTATGAATTCACTAATGTCAATAATGGTGGTAATTCACACTTGTCATGTGCAAAATTAAAAAGTATTTAACTGTTGTGGCATATTTCAGTGCAATTACTCTTCTCTCTACTTTCTGCAGGCCCGCCCGCCCCTCCTCCCTCTCTGTTTCAGCCTCCGCGGCGTCCCGGCCTCGGCACAGTGGGGAAACCCATTCGGCTCCTAGCCAACCACTTCCAGGTGCAGATTCCCAAGATTGATGTCTATCACTATGATATCGACATCAAGCCTGAGAAACGGCCTCGAAGGGTCAACAGGTAAATCTACAGACAGATATGAGCAGAAAATGCACATGGGGATGGGGGACTTAACCAATTGCATCTGTTGCTATTATCAAACAGACTTCCCAGGGAGAAACATGTCTCCTACGAGCAAGGCGTTTTATATACTAGTAAATAGGGAAATGAAGAAAAGAAGCATTTAATTTTATTGCAGTATAAAACTGCATGGCCAATTTTCTGTTTGTTGTCACCAGACATATTGTAGTAAGTCACTTAAGTTACTGGTATGCCTGTGTTTATTTGCTTACTTTCCTGCCATTCCTGTTGTTTAGGGAAGTGGTGGACACCATGGTGCGGCACTTCAAGATGCAGATCTTTGGAGACAGACAGCCTGGCTACGACGGGAAGAGAAACATGTACACAGCACATCCACTGCCAATTGGGAGAGACAGGGTTGGTGTTTCAAACACAGCATGTATACAGATTAAAAAGAGAAGAGGTTTACACACTAACATTTAATCATAGATGCAGAGAACAATATTAATTTACTAGTTTACTTTATCGGAGTAAAATTTAATCTGCCTTCATAGTTTAAAACCTGCATGCATGTCAAAAACTACTACTTTGCCCTTGGGTATTTTTTGCCAGTCTCTCCCTGTCACCTATTCTTCAATCCATTTCTCTTCTCATCTTTTGTTTCTGTCTCCCACTTTGCCTTTCTTTCTTTCTCCCCCCCCATATCATCTTTAGGTGGATCTGGAGGTCACTTTGCCTGGTGAGGGGAAAGATCAGACGTTCAAGGTGTCTTTGCAGTGGGTGTCAGTGGTCAGTCTACAGATGCTGCTGGAAGCTCTGTCGGGTCACCTTAACGAGGTCCCCGAAGACTCCGTTCAGGCTCTGGATGTCATCACACGGCATCTTCCTTCCATGAGGTACAGACACTTATCCCCTCTGCCTTTTCACAACCATACTACCCCACATCTTCTGCACATCTCTTGACAGTTATTGCTTTTCATCTTTTATTTGTCTGTATTACTTAATTTCCTGCTGTCTGGTGTCGCCCTGATCAAGTCAGATTACATAATATAATTGAAATTTTTATTGAATCGATTATCGGTCTGCCCGTTATCGCTTGACTAACTGAATAAGCCACAGTGCACTGAGTGCACCCTACCTGGTAGACCTAACTACCTAAATAAGCGCTAACATAACTGTTGCCCTTGGTAAGAAATATACAGAGTAAATTATTGTTTGTGTATATAAATGTGAAACAAATGTTCACATGTGTTTCTGATGCACACACAAATATTTTTGGTTAATGTAACGACAAATCGAATCGTAATCGCAATATCTGGCAGAAAAATAGCAATTAGATTTTCACCTAATTCATCCATTATATACAATAAAGTATTTTTGTGTGCATGAAAAATATATTTTTATAATATTTTATCTTTATATATAAATACATTTGTATATCGTTCTGTGTGTATTCATAATATTGAGACAAATTTCACCCCAGAACATAAAGGATTAAGCGCTTTTGTCCTTATGAAAGTAACACTAGCGATTGTCTGACCAATGAGAAATTGGTCGGACAAGAGCACCAACCGACCAGAAGGTGTTAGCAATACTAATCTTAATCTGGCTGATTTAATAATGTCATGGACATCTCATTACTTCTGGTGGTTTAAGTCTATATTGATTTGATTTTGTGTATTATTCAGCTACTGTTATTTTTTTATTTTTTGCACGCAGGTATACTCCCGTAGGGCGTTCGTTTTTCTCCCCTCCAGAGGGTTATTACCATCCTCTGGGTGGAGGCAGGGAGGTGTGGTTTGGTTTCCATCAGTCTGTCCGTCCTGCTATGTGGAACATGATGCTCAATATCGATGGTAAGACCTGAGTGAAGCTGATCGGCTTCAGCTTTGATTTTAAATTAGCTTTTAATACATTCATTTTAAAAATCTCCAACACTGCGATTATACCTGTTGTACAGTATTCTGTATCAAGGTGGTATTTTGATGTGGGTGTTAACTGACCGATATAAAGAATTAGATCATATCTTAATTCTCTACCCAGCTAGATTCAATGTATTTGTATGCACACAATCACTAATGAACAGCAATTGATTGTATTTAAAAACCCACCAAATTTCTGTTTGATCAGCTACTGCTTCATTCTATGCCTAGACTGTAACAGTAGACTTTACAGCTAAATATTTCTACTGCCATTATGGAAATCTGGTATGGTTACATACATAAGGAAAAACGACAGATGCTTTTATGAATAAAAACATTAGTTTAATTAATTCTCATCTCAAATAAGGAGGTATAATTCAGATTCTGAAATTTAGTTTTCTGTGACAGAGCTATTAACCTCACTATTGTTTTGATGAAGGATAAAATGATTGTCATGATAACTTAGCAGAGTTTTTAAACCCCACCGTTGTACTATATTTTAAACAATGTAATGTTGTGGCATCTCATGCCTTTCCATTTCTGTCCACCTCCAGGATTGTATTCCGTTGTCTCTCCTACACTTGAAACAACATGCCCCAATAATGCATCCCCTTGCATTGAAAAAACACCAATTAAGTCAGTTAAAATTGTAAAAAGGCAGCAGTTCCTGAATCTGTTAAGAGTGATGCAGTAGTTGAAGACCAAAAACACACTTATTATGTCTTATTCCATGAGACAGAGACTTGTTGTGATACAAAACACTTTATAAATGTGTTAACTGGACTGGGATGTTTTGCTTAAAAGATGGTACGTTTGTTTGTATCCACTGTTATATCGACAAAGTCATTTATGTAAAAGGTGTTTGGCAGTCCATAGCCATTGCTGATGAGATCAGGACATTCATTATGGCTGCAAGAATGTGCATTAAAGCTCCTTTGTTACTGCTGCATCCCCGTTCCCCAATTCTATAGTTTGCCCAGACTCTGCCTGTGATATACACTATCATGAACTCATGTGCGATCTTGTTATTGATTTATGGGACTAATTTTCCGAATATTGTCATATCTGTTCTACCCCCTCAGTGTCAGCGACTGCTTTCTACCGTGCCCAGCCTGTCATAGAGTTCATGTGCGAAGTGCTAGATATACAGAACATCAACGAACAGACGAAACCCCTGACCGACTCGCAGCGCGTCAAATTCACCAAGGAAATAAGAGGTGAGCACTCCATACCAGTTCACACACAATATGCTGATATTTACCAACGCGTGAAAGAGGGCCAACATTAACAGACACACGCACATTATATACACCGTGTCCATGACTCACTGTGTATCAAATTAACCATTAAGGTGCGGGCCTGCAAAACACATGCCTGTTTGTTTTTATGCACTGTGAAAGATGCTACACCCACTCCTGACACACATTCATGCTGTATACTCATGCTAAATACAGTACACTGCTTAACTTGCGCCTATGCTAAACACCTGCTCTTAACCTCAGGGTAAATATTGTGTTTCTGCCTTTTGATTAGAAACTAGGCAGTCTAAAATCAGAATGTGTGAATCTCATGGACATAAGTATTCATAACAGATCTCCTGAATAAAGCTTTTGTTTATAAAAATGAATTAATTTTTTTTAATGCAAGACTGCTGTTGTTCCAAGCAGCTCCGTTCTCTGTGTGTCTTCACTTATGTTATTGTAAATACACAAATAACCTTGCAGGAGCTAGATGTCATTTTGAACAGTGTAGAATTTTAACTGCATGTTTTCTTCGGCAGACACTTATAAGCTCTCTATTCTCCTTTTTGGTTTGCGTTTTGAGCCGTGTTGTGACAAATGTGGAAAAGGGAAACTGCAGAGCTGAAACACCCTGTGTCAGCATTTCTTTATCATGTCCTGAAAATGACAGAAGAGGAACTGATGAGTACAATTCCAACCTGCTAAAATTGAGAAATTATCGAAACATTGGAAATTGCTGTTGGTGGTTAAGTGGTACTGCCACTTCACATGATTCTGTAACCATTCTTTTTTGTATGTTTTATAAACAGGCCTGAAAGTTGAGGTCACACACTGTGGTCAAATGAAGAGGAAGTACCGTGTTTGTAATGTAACTCGCCGACCTGCCAGCCACCAAACGTAAGTGCGATTCCTGCACATGTTCGCTAATGTACCAAAAAGACAAGAATTTTTTTGCCCACATTTTCCATTTATTTGCAGGTTCCCCTTACAGCTTGAGAACGGCCAAGCCATGGAGTGCACAGTAGCTCAGTATTTCAAGCAGAAGTACAATCTGCAGCTCAAGTATCCACATTTACCATGCCTTCAAGTAGGGCAGGAACAGAAGCACACCTACCTTCCCCTGGAGGTGAGAAAGAGGCTGTTTTGATGCTTAAATCTCATAATTTTAGTTCAGTTCAGACAAAAATGCCTTTCATCTTTTCAATTATAACATTCTCCTTTTTAATTTCCCGTCATTGTTTCTCTAATCTGATTGATTTTGTTTTATTTAATGAAATGTTTCTTCTTGCTCTGTAGGTCTGTAACATAGTAGCAGGCCAGCGCTGTATTAAGAAACTGACAGACAACCAGACATCCACCATGATAAAAGCTACAGCTCGCTCGGCCCCCGACAGACAGGAAGAGATCAGCAGACTGGTGAGTGCTGTTTCCCTCTTGGGGTGGGAGTAAGAAAAGCAACTGGAGCTGCTGCCATTCAGAAGATTTTTTTCCTCTGGACTTCGACAGGACTAATCAGCATACAGCTCATCTACTTTTTTGTATTTTATTCCTATTTTTCTCAATTCTTTTCTCTACAATCTCATTGCTTCCCCTGCATCCATCCTCTAACTCCTTCCCTGTACTTTCTGATCCTTTACCAGGTCAAAAGTAACAGCATGGTCGGGGGCCCGGACCCTTATCTGAAGGAGTTTGGCATTGTGGTGCACAATGACATGACAGAAGTGACCGGACGTGTTCTCCCAGCACCCATGCTGCAGTATGGGGGCCGGGTGAGTACAGACACAGGGAGGGACTGTGGCAGGGTGAGTACTGGGAAAGGGGCTAAACTCTGGGGTTGCATGCCTGACTGGGAACGCACAGGGCGGTGGCATCAAAGAGTGAATGTTGGGACACGGGGGGGAAGATCCAGGTTTGAAGAGGTCACTCAGCGGAAGGCTGAGTGAGTTTATTATTATTATGTTTCAATATTGAGTAGAATTGAGACACCAAAGAACCATCATCGTCTTGGTTGTGACGTTTAACTGCTGCTATTAATTCAGGTGGTGACTAGATACAGATGCCTGTTAAACCTGGAACTTGCCCCATTTTTATAATCCTGTGGTGCATCTCTGCAGTCTGTCAAGTGCATCTCTTTAAAAGACTATCCTTTCACTGACACCGCCTCTAAGTATGTCAATATTACAGTGCATGTAGATGAAGCAGCAAGTTGTTGCAGACTGCTGAGATTCACCCATTGAATCTCAAATCAAAAGTTTGGAGAGATCCGATTTATTGGCGCACGCACAAGATAAATGTAAACATTTCTGAGCAGACCTGTATAGATCAGAAGGTTGACAGGCGTGAGAGGCTGAATTGGGATTCAAGGATTGTGTGTGTGTGTGTGTGGGGGGGGGGGGGGGGGATGTGCTGCCAACAGGAGGATGATAAGACTCTGAGCCACCCAGCATTAAAGCAAAACCTGTCTGAAAGATTCAGTTTTAAAGCTTGTGGGAGTGAATGTGACTATCTTCCATCTGAAAATGAAAAGGTTAATATAAATAGTACAGGTGCTGGAATATAACCTCATTCAGAGGCAGTGTTCATTGATTCTGCTAAGATAAGATAAAACTTGAATGATCCCTGTGGGGAAATTGGTTCAGTGTATGGGCCAGCTTTTCCCTTTTTATACTCTGCTTCATTTACAATTGTTCTTCAGAGAATTACAGCAGGTTGTTGGTTGCAAAAAAAATGCTCTTGCATTCCACTGCCAAGCTTAAATCCCTAATTGGCTGCCTGAACTATACGTTAATTTAGCCCAGATCCTATCGCAACACTCTTTCTGAAAGGTTTGGCCACTTGCCTGCTGGGTTATCGAGTCTAATCGGCTTCCAGTGAAATGCCCTTAAATGTGGACTGAAAGCTTTTCTCATTTCTGTGATCACTTGGTGTGAATGAAATACTGGGGATGCACCGAATGTTCGGCCACCGAAATTAACTGGCTGAAAATAGCAGGAAAAAGCACTTTTGGTGTTCGGTAAAATTCCTTCAGTCTTTTGACTTATTAGGCCGAACAATTATGGTGACATATCGACAGTGTGGAAGCATTTTAAACTGTCTGTGAAAGACGCAAAAATCACCGTTTGCAGACACTGTTCTGCTGAATTGTTTCCTAGCACATCCACTCAATCTGTGGCTGACTTCTTACAAAAGGCAACAAACGGTCTGAACCGCTTTGAGCGTTTGTCACTCGTTTGTGAGAAGGCGATTAAGCTAGACACGCCTAAATTTGTATTGCGCACATATTCAACCCTTTATGGTTAATCCACTGAAGCGGACCAGTGTGAGCTGACAGGCAGGTTAGCGACTTTATCCTGTCATTTTTTTTACAAAGACAAGTGTTGCAACATGAGAGTCCTACCTGAAGAGAGGTTGTGAAGTCTTAATGTTGCGCGATAGGAGAACCACATACAACATTTATATGTATATATATTTGGGTCGGAGCGAGGATACACATGTGACAACATCCAAAAAAAGGTGTCTATACAGGAGGGAGCTAAGATTAATTGGATTATATTCAGAGTATAAAACGTATTATATATCCATTAAAGTAAATGGACACACGCATTGTACCGGACACTCATGGACTTTGGATCCACCCCCCATAGTCTCTCCAAATCTTGTGGGAAACACTGAGTAAAAACACATTTTGACTATTTAATTTATGCAATGGTAAAAAGAAAATGTGAATGTACTTGGTTTGGTATTCGGCAAATTTCTTCATTATATACGTTTTTGTCCAATAATTTTCATTTCGGTGCATCCCTATGAAATACACTCACCTTTCATTTTAAAATGGCATGCAAATGTTGGTGGACATACAGTTTCATCAAAATATTCACAGAACCAAAACTGAATACTCCCTGAAGTGACTGACTGTGCAACATGTGAGATGGGAAAAGCAGCAGTCTATTAAGTTTTATGTTATTGATGACAACATGTAATTTGTTATGTAGTTTTAAATCCTTTGATCATGTTGAAGATTTTTTGAGCATGTTGGAATGAGATGGAGAACCTCTTGACTTTCCTTAGCATACCACTCTCAAGTAGTTCATTTTGGTCACTTTGTTGGGAGAATAAAAGCTTGTAATGGCCTTTGGTAAATCTTGTTAACGTAATTGAAAGCCACTGCCCTTTTTGAATTTGTATTCACAACCGCACTTGAAGTAGAAGCACTCACCTAATGATGTGGGAAGCTATAAAATCTGAATATTTATGTTCAATAAAAAAACTGAGCATCTCACGCTCCTAAATGGGTCTCACAATGCTTAGCAGAGACTGTATGTTTTGTGCAGATTAATACTTCATGTGCAGTAAACCACGGTGCAGAACATTTTACAGTCAAATTGGTATGAGTGTATAAAACCAGTTTAAATTCATTCACTGTGCGTAGAATATTTTTGTCTGCCAAGTCTAGCCAACAATGCGCGCTGTGTGTAGGCCAGTTGAGTAGGCTGTTAATGCATTATGTATGTCTGTGTATGGTATGAAAATCCAAAGTATAGGTTGGGCTGTAGTACCTGTTGTATTGGCTCATCCAACCGGTGGGTTGACTAAGAGAGTAGGGACTCTCTCCGCAGAATAAAACCGTTGCCACGCCCAACCAGGGCGTGTGGGACATGAGAGGGAAGCAGTTCTATGCCGGCATCGAGATCAAGGTCTGGGCTGTGGCCTGCTTCGCGCCTCAGAAACAATGTCGGGAGGACCTGCTCAAGTGAGTAATGGCATCAACTGTTGTTTGGCTTTATAATGAGGCGTGTCCCATAAATGTACTTGAGAAGGAAAAGTGACCGCACAAGGCAAATGCTAGTGAGTCTTTTGTACATTGTTTTCTTTTATGTAGGTAGTGTGGCTCATGTCTGTCAGTCGGTGCACCGCTATGGTCCAGACTATTATATCTTAAGTTTTGGATGGATTGGCACAATTTTGTACAAATATTCATGGTTGTTGGATGATGTATCCTAATGACTTTGGTGATGCCTTGACTTTTTCTCTAGCGCCACCATGAGGTTGACATTTGTGGTTTTGAGAAATGACCAACAGCTATTGGATGGATTGACATGACATTCATGTCCTCCTCTTGAAGAATTGTAATAACTTTGCTTATCCTTCAGATTTTGTTTTAGCACCATCATTAGGTCATATATTTGAATTTGTCCCATACTTGGAAAATGTTTATGATCAGATACCTTCAAAACTAACAACGTTCCCATCAGCCTCAGCTGTACTGTGTTCAGTGCTAATTAGCAAATGTTAGCATGCAAATACATGAAACTAAGATGGTGAACATTATACCAGCTTTATGTTAGCAATTGTCATTGTAAACATGTTAGCATTTAGTTCAAAGCTCCCTCGCAAACTACAACCTGCAGTTACAGTGGTCTTGCATAGGTTCATTGAATCTCTTTCGCCCTACTACATTGAATTTTATTAGATGTCGTATGCTTATACTGCTGATTTCTAAACATTGAATGCATTTCAATAGGAGCTTCACTGACCAGCTTCGAAAGATCTCAAAGGACGCTGGGATGCCCATTCAAGGGCAGCCATGTTTCTGTAAATACGCTCAAGGAGCTGACAGTGTGGAGCCCATGTTCAAACACCTCAAGATGTCTTATGTAGGTCTGCAGCTGATTGTGGTCATCCTGCCTGGCAAGACGCCAGTCTATGGTAAGAAAGTGAAATTCATAATTTTGTGAGGATGGAACAAAGGAATAGGGTAACATACGTATGAATGAAATGTGTAATTTTGTGATTGATCTTGGTCTTCTCCCGTTTTTGTTTACAGCTGAGGTAAAGCGGGTGGGTGATACACTCCTTGGCATGGCAACCCAGTGTGTGCAGGTAAAGAATGTAGTGAAGACCTCCCCTCAGACCCTCTCCAACCTGTGCCTCAAGATCAACGCCAAGCTGGGAGGCATCAACAACGTCCTGGTGCCTCATCAGAGGTCCGCATGGATTTTGTAATTTCTTAGTTGCAGTCCAGATGGCAGTGTGGAATGCTTCTTGGCTTTGAATGTTGTAGATTAGTGAGATACTTTCTGAATACAGATAGACCTCTGGTAATCGTGGAAAAGCGCAATCAAAGTTGTAGTAATAATCTGCATCATTTTATGTAAATCTTGCTGTTTGGCATTTATTTTGTCTGGTGCTGAAATTCTGAAAATCTTTGACTTTTTATAATATTTGGATCTAGTCATGCTGTTCTTGGTTTAGAAATTGAATAAGAAATATGATGAACAGGCCTGCAACGTAAAGTCTCTTCTTTCTTTTGTGTGTCCTGTTCTCTGTTCAGGCCCTCTGTGTTCCAGCAGCCGGTCATCTTCCTGGGTGCAGATGTAACACATCCTCCAGCAGGTGACGGGAAGAAGCCGTCCATCGCGGCAGTGGTGGGCAGCATGGACGGCCACCCCAGCCGTTACTGTGCCACGGTCCGAGTCCAGACGTCAAGACAAGACATGTCCCAGGTAACAACATTCTGTGTGTACTTACTGTTGAAAATGACATTTGGATTTTCATACTATTGATAAATTTGTATTCGTATTGAGTAATTTCTTTTAAAAGCATTCTGCAATATTTCAATTACTCTTTAGTTATTGAACAGTATTTTAAATTTAAGTAATATTACTAGATGTCAGTTTGAAAGGAGTCCATCAAAGTTTTTTGTTAACAGTTCCCTCCTCCTTTTGAGTCTAAGTCATTTGTTATTGTCTCTTTAGGAGCAGCTCTTCAGTCAGGAGGTAATCCAAGATTTGACCAACATGGTGCGGGAGCTGCTCATCCAGTTTTACAAGTCCACGCGCTTCAAGCCCACACGAATCATCTATTATCGTGGCGGTGTGTCTGAGGGACAAATGAAACAGGTGAGTGATTAGCAGAGTTTTCATGCTCATCTCTATCTTATTTCTGCCATATCTTGGCCATTTTGGTTACCATTCCCAAGTGCGATCTACTAGACAGGAATGGCAGCTGTGATTCATTAAGAGAAGAGGCTGTCAAAACCTTAATTCAATGATGACATGCAGCTTCAGTCCAAAACCATGGCGAGAGTTGCAAACAAAGTTCCATCAGAAAAATTAAAATGTGGGGGGGAAAAAAGAACAATTCTACGCATTCCTGGTATATCAAAACATGTTGCATAGGTGTGTGTGTCGTTTATTTATTTTTTTATATTTTCAGGTAGCGTGGCCGGAGCTGATAGCAATCAGAAAGGCCTGTATCAGTCTGGAGGAGGATTACAGGCCGGGCATTACCTACATTGTGGTTCAGAAACGTCACCACACTCGTCTCTTCTGCTCTGACAAAGCTGAGAGGGTCAGTACAAGTTCACTCTATGATGCGTGGTATTGAGTTGTATTCTTTTGTACAACACTGTAGTGTCGGTCTTTAACTGTAATTTTGTAACTAATTGATCACCACCTGCAGGTTGGGAAGAGCGGCAATGTCCCTGCAGGCACCACAGTGGACAGCACCATCACACACCCGTCCGAGTTTGACTTCTACCTGTGCAGCCATGCTGGAATTCAGGTGAGGGATGCACGCTCACACACTTGTCTGAGGTCAATTCAAAATGTTTTAATTTTATAAGAAATCTGTAAGTCTGCAAAGTCAACTTTGCATTGTATCCAGCTCTTTCCAGTTCTCAGTCTCTTTTGAAGTTTTGAAATGGTGTGTGTGGATTTGGCACGTTTAAATACAAAAAGTAAAAAATATGGATTTAACCCATTATTTCAGTAGAAATTGTCTTCAAGGGTACAGCAATTTTGCTATGTGGCTACCACAGTAATGGTCCTTAATGACAATGAACAGCATGATTTGGATGCTTCTTTGACTCATCAGATGGTTTATTTAAAGTGATACACTGCCCACAGGAGACCCTTTCGGTATAAAACACTTCTCCCCTATAAATTTAAAACATGGCTGTAAAAAGTGGAAACAGACACTTTGACACTTTAGTTTGTGCATTTTTTGCAGCATTTGGTTGAGAACGGCTAATGAGTGAGTTAGTATAGAAGGTGCAAACCATTGCACCTGTTCACAAGCAGAAGCAGTGTTTAGCAGGGTTTATGAAAAGGGTGAATTAAAACATTTAATCATATACATGTATAACGCATAACCGCAGAGGGTCATTTTTTTTTCTTTGCATGAGATTAAATTTAGTACACTTTCTTTAGTTTATCACATGACATTTTCAGTGCAGTATTGACAAGTTACATGTTATGTTCCATCCTCAGGGAACCAGTCGTCCCTCCCACTACCACGTCCTGTGGGATGACAACTGTTTCACTGCCGACGAACTGCAGCTCCTCACCTACCAGCTGTGCCACACCTATGTCCGCTGCACGCGTTCCGTCTCCATCCCAGCACCAGCCTACTACGCCAGGCTAGTGGCTTTCCGAGCCCGCTATCACCTGGTAGACAAAGACCATGACAGGTGAGGCGGCCCTAGATGTCTGTTGTTCCAGTTCAAGAATAATAGTTAGCTCCCCTGGTTCTGCCTGTGTTGGACCAAACGGGGAAGGACACTGCATCTTAGTCTTGTGTTTAAAATGCTTTCACCGACTGACCCTAAAGGATAAGTACAGTTAATATGTGCAATTTGTTTTTGGCAACGGTTACTTTATTGGATAGATGATAGGAGTGAGGCAGACAAGAAACTATAGGGACAGATTCATGACGTGCAACATGGGTCCCCTGCTGGAACCTGTGTAGGGAACCCTAAGGTCCTCAGGGGTGCCAGTAGAGGACCATGTGATGTGATATCATTCCTGACAGTAAACCCTGTCTTTCTCTGTCTTGCAGTGCTGAAGGCAGCCACGTGTCGGGCCAGAGTAATGGCCGGGACCCCCAGGCGTTGGCCAAGGCAGTTCAGATCCACTATGATACCCAGCACACCATGTACTTCGCCTGAGCTAGCGAGCATGTCAGCCAGTCCACCTGTGGATTTCCTGTCTTTGTCTTTTTATCTCTTATTTGCCAGTCTCTCTCTTCTCCCACTTTATCTCTTTCTCCTTGTAGTCTGTCTCTTTTTCTTTACACTCACTTTACATTTTTCTGAATCTGCACCAAAGCGGCTCTTGAATGGGGGAATCTGCTGTGTCCTTATGTCTAGCAGGTTTTTGTTTTGAAGGAACAATCTCCAACCAGCGTTCCCAGTCGAGCCGCCTTTCAAACCAGCAATCCAGTACTGGGAACCCTGAGGGTTTCCAGTACACAAAAGATAAAAACGAAAAAAACAAACCATACACACACATACTACAAGTTGAGCCATTATTTTGAGTTTATTTTTTCTATTTGAATGTCTGCACTCTTGTGTTTTGTAAGATACACTGAGCAAGGGAGTGGATTGGCACAATCTGTGTCAGCGCAGCTCTTTAGCTCTCCCAGCTAAGCAGGACTCTTATCTACTTTTACCTCAAAGCCCCTTTGGGCAAAATCTGTCACAAGGTCTTGGGTTTATTGGGTGGTGGGGAGGGAACTCTACAGGTAAAGAGATGGAGGGGAGTTGACCTTTTGAGAATGATATATATACATACATATATATATTATATATTTTTCCTTTTTATGAGCGTCTGTTTTAACTTTTCTCCTTTACGGTCTTTTACAAGCGAGGTGACCTGGGTGTCATGCCCATTACTACTTTTCTCCCATCTTAGTGAAGAATACGCGTGTGTGTGTGTGTGTGAGAGTGAGAGAGCATCTTTGTATATACATGTACTGCTGTATGAGTGTGTATGTGTGTTTCATGGCAGGCCACTGAATTGTAAAGGGAAATCAAGGAGATAACTGCTGTAAATGCCTCAGATTTGTTGTTTTTATATTCACACATACAGTACATATAAGCATATATTTACATCTATAAAGCAACTTTGAGACATATGACTTTTAAACAGGCCTCATAGAGGCTGGTGTGGGTATTTGTAGCAGTCCTGGGTCACTTATTAATTGAAATGCTTTGAATTACATTTGGACATGTTTTAGCCTGCAACTAGTGGAAGATGGGTGGGATATGCACCTTCGGGAGCCAGCTGCTCCCTTTGTGCCTCAAAACACCATTGAATCCCAGGAAAAGTGACTTAATCCATTTCACATAGTAAGTGAAGTCAGGTCTGACGTGTAGCAGTAGTAACTGTGGTCTGGCCTGTGAGTGGCTAAGCATTGGGACCTGTAGAATGGCTGCATGCATTAAACACAGAGTTTGGTCTTATCAGCCTTGCTTTCTGTGTGAAAACACAGTCTTATTTTTATTTGGACCTGATTATCTGAAAGATTATGAGGACACTGCTGGACGTTGCTTTTCTTGTGTTGTTTTTTTTTTGTTTTTCTTTTTGTAGTAGTTTGAAGAGCCGGAAACCAACATAGTTTTTTGAGGTCTCCTTTGCTAATACTGGCCAATTCATTGCACTGACCCGGGACGCTAGGCAAGCAACAGAGGGCACTCTCAATCTCTCTTACCTTTATGCATTTATACATACGAATCAACAAAGCAGATTTGTAAAAGTTTAATATAAGATGTTTTGTGGTTATCTTAAAAACTGTTATTTAGAATTAGTAGTTTACCATTGATGTTGTTGTTATCGTTGTTGTCAATGTTATTACTATTGTGATGAAATTTTAAGGTTGGCAGCAAAGCCAGTTATATAGTTACTAGTGCGACTTCAGGAATAGACTTCAGTTGTTGAGCTGCAGGTTAAGGGGTAGAGCTATGGGTTGGACATTTTTGTAGCATTCTGGTTAATGGTGGGGAGAAGAAGTAGGCCCCTGATGGATGAGTTCATGCTTCCTCTGTAGGTTATGATGAGTAAAAAATCGCGGTATTGTGTAGCACTCCGACTAGTAAAACAAATCTGCCGCTGTGTACACCGCTCAGCTGGCATTGGTTGGTTTTGATCATATAGATGGAGACAATCAGGGATTGTAATCAGAGTGAACCTAAGTTAAGGGATTTGTTGAAAAGCGGTCTGCGATAAGCAATGAGTTGAATTTTTAGACTTTTTTTAAAAAATGGTTTCTATTACTCTGTGTGTATTTGAAGTATACCCATCTTAAAGTCTCTGCTATTTGACGGTGTTTGTTTCATATTTTTATGCATTTTTAACACTGGATTAAATAAATTGACAATAAGCATAAGCACTGCCCTTGGACCCCTTGTACAAACACTCTGTGGTGACAGTTGCACAAGTGGTGCCCCCTGGTGTTGTGATTGGATAGAGTTGCAGGACAGGAGTGTTTGGAGAAACTGTCGACGTGCACGCCTCGTCAGGAGGGGACAGCTCAGTGAAAACCCTTTTGTAATAAACCACCCGTAAAGCAGCAGGTTTACTATGAATGAGTTTGGGCACCTGCCTGTTGAAGGCGTGGGCGTTGGCATTGGCCAGGAGTGGAGAAGTGGGAAATGAGGAGTCCTAGTGGGTGGGGTCGGGTATTGGGAGGGTGTTGTCCAGGCACTGCATGCAATAAGTTTTACTCTTTGTTTAAAGAGGGCAGATCAGTTTATAAAATGTGCACTAGTTTTACCAAGCAAAGCGGGCTGTGATTGAATATTCATCTGATATCTCTAATGAGGAATGATTTGGTGTTTTATATCCTTCACTATTTATCATTAAACTCCAGTCAGATAAATGATGACTCCCTGTTTGTAACATGACATTGCAAAGCAATATTAACCCCGTTCTAGTTTTCAAATGTGGAAAAACAAAGCTATAATTCTACTCATTGTGGTTGTTGGTCTACTCGCAATTGTGTCTCTGTACTTTTATTTTTTTAAATTTTAGTTTATTTTATTTGCTTGTATCAATCAGTGGGAATGTGCATTTGGTGAAATAGTTATGTAGGCATTAGCCAATTTTCTTTTAAAGTAACTAAATGTAGACTTTGCTCGCCTGCATGCCAGAGTGTTGTCCTTTTTAAAAAAGAAAAAAAAAGAAAAGAAACCCCTCTTTTGGAATCATATTTATTATGAGAGAGAAAAAAATATAAATGCTTTTTTTGGGGGGGTAAATGTTAATCAATTTAGTGGGACTGTTTAGGTTAGCAATATTTGTCCAGTCTCTCTAAGATTCATTTTAAAGATTCCTACACAAATGTCAGTAATTCGGGAGGTACAAGCTGTTTTCTGGGGCGAGGGGGGCCAGCTCTTTGCGTCGTGTTCAAATTCAAACGAGGTACTTTCTTCAAACGTGGACCCGTTAAAGGCCGAACCCCTCTCCTCTTTGCCAGGTTACTGTAGCGAGCATCCATTTTGTCTCCTCGTTCCTGGCTTGTACCTGTGGCCACGCCTCTTTTAGTGGGGTCTCTCCTGTCTCCATGGCAACTCTGCTGACCCCTCACAAATGCACTTCCTCTTTGTGAAGCGGTCCCCATGGCATCAGCGGAGCAGGATTACCTCTTTTTAACCTTTTTAAAAAAAGATCCATAATTCTTTCTGTGCCCCTATAGAAAGAGCATGAATTATTTTTAAATTCCTATCACTTTGATATATTGTTATATCTTAACGGATTTGTAATTTGACATTGTATTGTGTATTTTCATTTTCCTATTTTTATTTAAAATTTTTTTGGTTTCTTGTAGCTCTGCTCGTTTTTTTTTTTTTGTTTGTTTTCTGCTAGTGGTCTCTGAAGCTGTATGTGATTGTCTAATAGCAATAGAATTGGAACATTCCAATTCTGTGAATGGAACGTTCCGATTTTATGAATGAACGGTGCCCTTTCTGGGGCAAGGCATGTTCTAGCTCCGCCCCCGGCAGAGGGCCATTCACTCACTGTTATTGCTATTATGTGACATGTTCAATTACTTTTTTTTTTTTCTTTTTTTTTTTTTTTTTAGCCTGCAGGGAATTCTTGTGTTAATGTGCAAATTAATAAATTGGTATTTTAAGCCTTAACATAGCTGGTGTGTTCTCATCATTGATGACAGGTGGCATGCTATTAAAAAGGCTCTTATGACCTTTTTAAAGAGCTTGTTGACCAGTTAACACCAAATCCTCATTGCATGTATTTTGTCACTAGATGGCATTCTTAACCAAGGTCAATGGGATCACTTGACTGTTTCCTCACCTTGATGGTCATCTAACAGCGAGTGAGGCATGTTAACAAGTTATTTTTTTTATAGACTATGTTAACCAGTGTAGATGCAGTCATACAACTGAAGAACAGCTAACAAATCATGCTTCCTACAAAGTCCAGTCACATTTATCTTTACACTGACACATTTACTGCAAGTACACTAGAAGGTTGTTCATATATTGTGGCTCAGGACCTAACCTAGACATGTAAACCGCCAGAAAATGTATTAACGTAACAGGTAACCAGTGTAGCAGGTTGAACTGTAAATATTGTCTACGTGTTTGGAATCATTAAACATCCTTACAAGTACAGGGGCAAAAGGAGAGAAGTGGCTCCTCTCTGTTCCTTGAATATTAAATGTCTGGGTGTTATCAGTCTGTAACCGAAGTCCATTGAATTCACGCAAGTATTCACAAATTATCCTTACATTTCTTTTTATTAGATCATAACCAGCAGTCCTACTTAAGGATGTTTCCAGATAAAACACAATAAGAAATTTTAGCGCTTTCCATACCTCAAACGCTACCAGGATACCTATGTCCTCGGCCGACATAGTCTTTCAGAGGCTGTAGCGGACTCGGTTTTAAAGCCAAAGTCCAGATACTGGTATAAAACTAGTCAAAACTGAATAACCCAACTGGCAAAAATGCTGGTTTGTCAGGAAGTGGGATAAAAAAACTCTTCAAATTTTGGTGAGGGAAAAACTGGCATGGCCATTATCAAAGGGATCCCTTGACCTCTCACTGTTCAGCTATCTAAATGAAAATAAGTGGTTCTCTGGATGCCCAGTGATTCTGTGATTCTCCCCTTTACAGATATGCCCACTTTACACTAATCTCATGCAGTTCTGGGCAAAATGCAGTTTTTTGCATGCAGTATTAATGTTATTTTGCCTATTTTTGTATTTGAAAATGCCTACATATTGGGGTTTCTAAACAGTACTGGAATTGCTTATGACTGGAAATCTGAGATTCTTGTGGCGCCAATAAGCCCAACCGCATTCATGTGCGTGTGATATAGTCCCTATAGTCAATATAGCCATTTAATTTTAGTGAGACCATTTTTGTGACATTTAGGATAATCAATGCCTCCTAGAAATTACAACCACAAACTAGAGCCCTAGGGCATTCAGAGGATGTACGGCTTTCTTATGTTTATTGAGGTGCTCACTATCCAATTGCCAAAAAATGTGATTCTTACAGAAATCTCCAAATGTCAAAAGATTCTGATACCATATGGTGTTTCTCAAGGTCTTGGTTTCTAAATGTGGTATTTTGGAGGGATTTTCGTTCACCTTTAGCAATCTGAGTGGTCACAAATGTTAAGATTTTGCACCACATCAGTGTAATGATTAGGATCAACCAAAAGACTGCTGCAACAATTTGAGACATAACTGTGCACGGGAATGGCCTTCCTTTACTCGGATTATAATGTTCTAAGCCCTTACACACACTATCTATTCATCCATCGTCAACCGCTTATCCTGCGTACAGGGTCGTGGGGCTTACACACACACACACTAAACTTACAAAATTTTACAAAAACGTTTCTTACAGATGTATGACTAGAAACACTTGAGACACTTCAGCTGCATCTCAGTTTATTAAATTAACCTTTATCTTCCCAGCGTTCAGATGATGTACACTACTTGTATGTGGCATATATTGTTGACCTGCTATCTCCCCCTAAAGATCCCCTGTCCCCTCCCTAAAAAAGACACAAAAGGGTCTATGATATGGAGCGGAAGAGGTTAATACACACACACAAAAAGTAACTTACACAACATAATACTGTACTGTAAAACAGCGAAATAAAGAGCAAACATCTAAAAATGATGATTTCATAGTTAGCACTGTCAAATTATTCATGATCATAGTTGCTGATATTCCTTGCATGTGTACACATACCGGGCCATTAAAGCTGATTCTGAACATTTTGATCCAAACTGGTGGCTGAACTTCTGTTGAGGTATTTACAAAGCAAAATTAATTAAATCGATTTTAAAAAACGGTGGTATTTTATCTCACGTGTCCATTAATGTATTACTAAATGTTTTAGATTTAACATTCTTGTCTAGGTCAAAATTTATTTAAAAGGTGATTTGTCACTCAATTTTCACATCACAATGAATACCTGGTTGCACGGCATTGTACTACCGTGTCTGTGTGTTCGTTCAGACTGGGCAGCCATCATTGGTATGTGTCACCTTTCTCTGCTTCCCTTTGTGTATCATCCTGTCTCCTCTCCCGTTTCCTGTGTCCTCGCTGGTTGTCATGACCACTGTTACCAAGCAGAGCTGAGGCTACAGAAGAAAGGAAACCTGAACCACAGATCTTGATGCCATGATATTTAATTCATCGGCACAATAGCACACCAAGGTTCAATGTAATGCAGATGCAGAGTGAGCAGTATTGGGTAGAAGCGAGATTTCTGATTATGAAGACAAAGGGGTGCTGTCAGATCCTTCTGTGACATCCAGGTTCTATTTTTTTCTCTCCTCTAACTGTTTACTTAACAGTTTGACAATAACCATAATGAATCACCTGATATAGACCTACCAATTTTAGCCTGTTACTGTTTAAGCCACACTGTCAAATTATATTGAAATTTATTGAAACAATTAAGGTAAAAAAATGAATGTTGTTAAAGTGTCTGGGTTTTGTGATTTCCTTTGTTCGGATGACACCGCTTTCAGTCATACAATACATGTGACTTTAGTTTTATTTATTTTTACCTGTCACTTGTGTATTTCTCCTGTGGCTTTTCAGCATTTCAACCACAGTTGTTCTTACAGAGGAAAAGAAAAAAAAAACAATGCCCCCCTTTGCAAAGCAGGTTCTCCCTTTCATTGCAGACAAAAAGGGCAAGTGAAAGCTAATTTTTGTGAAAGCTCCTCTAAAATATGAGTTTGTGTGGTATGAACCAATACAAAGTGTGTAATCCTCATTGTGGGGGCCCCCCATGTTGTCTTTGTGTTAACTGATCCACCTACGGACAGCACTCCATCCACAGCTATCTATCCCTCCCTCCTTTTGTTGTCTCCCCTCTTTTGCCCCCCCTCCTGCATCGCTGGGCTTTTTTCTTCCTGGGGTTCAGTGTTGCTCTCGCAGGTTTGACTGTCAGCAGCGGTAGTGAAGATAGGAGGGAGTAAATTGATGCTGTTTACCCACACTGACTACGCAGCCCTGATTTGTTATTTATGCCCTTCTCGGAACCAAACTGACCCATTTGGGCTGTGTTGCTACTAATGGAAGTGGTTGGGGGCAGGGTGAAGCCGAGCAGCAGCTGAAGTCTGAAGTGGCCTCATCAAGGCTTTGGACCTCAGCGCCGTTTATTGTCAACAAGGAGACACTTCAGCTTGCAACAGCAGCAGTGTCTGATGAGGAGTTCTGCTGGCTGTTTTCATCTGGAAAGCTGTGCTTTTTTCAAATTTAGATACTCCTTACGCCTTTCTCCTGCGAAGTTTGATGTGGATTTTTAGAAAACAACTGCTCAACTAAGGGACTGGAATAACAGCTTATGGTTCACCTCCTACAGGATATTTGTTTCATTTATTCTGTGAGGACTAAACGTTGGATTTTCCTTGACTAAAAGGTAAAAAGCTACGCTGCTTTTTGTTTCTTTCTGAGTAATCAAGCATCACTATTTCACCCTTGCTGTGACAGGATACACTCGTGGCAGCATCAGTGGCACTGAATCCAAGTATCAGGTTGTATCAGTCTGATCCATCTAGGTAAGGCTACACCAAACCAGGAGTGTGACACTGAAATACATTGCAGCTCAACAATCGGGTCGCTGAGTTTGAACCAGAGCTGAAGCCAAGGAACCACTTCCACAAGAAACATAAAAAGCCTGGCTGAGATCCATTTCATCCACAAAGGCCTGGACCGTGAAGCCTGATCGATCTGGCTTCTGCGGGCTGCCACAGGTGACTGCACTGCTATCGGCTGCTCAATAATAAATTGACTCAAGCTCAGGAATGAAAAGGAGGAGAAAGTGAGTGGACCTCTGATCCTTTGGTAAGGTGGATGGCTGTTTAGAGAAAGCAGTTACATCTGGATAACACACTTATTGAGGACACGTGTAAGTGAAAACTGAGCAGATGTTGAAGAGGAAAAGAAATATGACTGCTGACAAAGTGACACTGGGTCAAAGACCGTAGGAAGCTTGGCTAAGCCGGACAGGAAGGATAATAAGTGAGCCAAAAAAGTAGACTCTGAAGATCAAAAAGAAGCATAACCAATAAAATAAGACCTCCCCAAAAACGCAACTGTAGTAAACAAAGAGGAACCACACAAAGGAGCTCATCATGGTGAACACTGGCATGCAGCTGATCAGCTTCACCTGTGCAGTGACTGGCTGGATCATGGCGATCGCCGTCACGGCCTTGCCTCAGTGGAAGGTCACGGCCTTCATCGGCAACAACATCCTGACCTCAGAGATCAAGTGGGAAGGCATCTGGATGAACTGCATCTACCAGACCACTGGGCACATGCAGTGTAAGACATACGACTCCATGCTGGCCTTGCCTCCGGACATCCAGGCGGCCCGCGCCCTCATGTGTCTGGCTATCTTCATGGGCTGGCTCTCCTGCACCGTGTCCTGCTGCGGCATGAAGTGCACCACCTGCGCTGGGGACGACCGTCGTGCCAAGGCGGGTATCGCGCTCTCAGGCGGCGTTCTCTTCATTCTGACGGGCCTGTGTGTGCTGATTCCCATTTCCTGGACTGCTAACACCGTCGTCCAGGATTTCTACAACCCCAAAGTGCCCATAATGCATAAAAGAGAGCTGGGTCAGGCTATTTATCTAGGATGGGCATCTGCAGTTATTCTTATGATCAGTGGAGCTGTGTTGAGCAGTACCTGCCCCCTCATGGAGAGGGAGGGCAGGTACCGCAGGGGCTACATAGGCCGGAGCTTTGCTAATTCACCCGCTTCAGCACCAGATCCTCCAAAACTTATAACATCTAATAGTGTACCATTGAAGGAGTATGTATAGGAGGTGGAAGAAGACACACCAGCAGAGGAGAGGGAAGGAGGTAAAGAGTAGATGCTATTAAAAACTGAGTAACTCTTGTTCTTTCCTAAATTTACCATCAAGTCTGTGAATTTTAAGCTATACATTGAAATCTCTATATTTAATAATATATTTAACCTATATTTTGCTTATTTTGTATATATATTGTAATGTTAAATTTGTTTACCTGAAAACATTCACGTTTGTTTGGAATTTTACTCTTTCTGCACTGTGATTTATAGTAGTGCCTGAAAAAAGCCCATTTCCTATATTGTCGAATCAACAAATTCATGAAAACTGAAAAGTATGACTGTTGGTGGCTTTTATGATGGCTTGTGTTGTGAAGATTGCAGTGATTTCTTAAGCAGTTATTCTCTGACAATGTCATTACCTCTCAATTTGTCACATGAAGCCTTGACTAACTGTGTCGACATTGAAAGTGTGAAATAAAACAAGTTTGTTAAAGCACGCTTCACAAACTGTTTTGTAACCATTTTGACCATCACATATAACAATGTGATAAAAATGATTTTCACTGTCATTAATCAAGTATGAAAATATCAGTTTTTGTCCAAAAAGGCATCTTTTTCCATGTTGTAATTTCCTCTTCATCTTGAATTACCATATGAAGTCTGGTACATTCACACACTTCCCATCCAAGAACACATCTACAGACATTTATACAACAAAATTAAAATCCAGTCCTTTTCGTAACATCCACAGGAAATGCGTCCCTCTTTAAGTGTAGAGGTATGTTTACTCATTATTCCTTTAACGATCCTGCTCTTCTCTTCTAGTGTCTCAGTGTAAATGCAGTCACATTCACAGGCTGGTCAGATTTCCTCTTATGTCGCTTTTACACTCTTCATTGAGATTCAACAAAGAAGGACACTTTGCAAAGTGTATCTGAAAGAAGATAGAGAAGTAATTAGTTCGCCTAAAAATCTTTAGCACCATATCTTTAACATACACACCACTGACAGAGAAAAATGACTGCCATTATAGATTTGGCCAAGCACTGGTCTCAGGTCAGCTTGTATTAGAGCCTGACCAATATGGGATTTTTAAGACCGAAACCGATTTTGATAGTTGAGGATTTTAAAATCTGATATAATGACCGAAACACATAACATAAACATAGATTATCCCTAACATTTGTTATGTGTAGTTATAAGACCTCACCAATATAACATGACATAATGCAGGTTAAAAATAAACGTTTTATTGTTATAAATAGTGCTTTGAACAAAAGTACAGCTGATTATGTCATCTGATTGCTCTGTTTTGTGGTGGATTTTTGGCCAACAGGGAAGTTACAGAGTGCCCTCCGGTGGACAAACTATGCAACGACAACACTCATAACATGATTGAAGGATCCGTCTCTCCATTTCTTCTTAAATTGTCATTTATCGGCTGTTATAAACACTGATACCAATTTATCTGCAATTAGCCCAAACCAGCCTATAATATCGGCATGTTGATTTATCGGTTGGGCTCTAACTTGTACTAAAAAAGTTATTTAAACTGACATTACACCAAATTCTGTCAAATGGCTTTGCAAGGGTAGGTGAAAAATCTGTTCTGCTGGGTCCCCTCATCAGTCATTGCAAGTAATCAAGTAATCAAGGGGTAAGTATCAACATTATATAAAACACTTTACCTGTGATGCGGTCTTCTGCACTGGGAGACTCTAAGGATTTCCATGTTTTGGGAGCAGATTCTAAAAGGGAGAGATCATCTGCTCTCAGTGTCTGCAGAAGAGTCTTCCTCCTCAGAAATCTGAATACATGAGTTGAGGGAAAGACCCTGAACACAACGCAAACCCAACCCAATGCAAACATGAACAGAAAGGATACTGTTGTCGATAGTGACGCTCAGCATCCTGCAGCCACTCCAGCATTTCAGAGAGTGAAGGGGCGGTGGCCGAGCGCTCGGTCACAGTGAGCAGATCCAGACTGTCCGTGTTCTGCTCGTAAAGCTGGAAGACTGCAGAGACCTGGTTACTGATGGAATCTCTGACAGACTGTAGAGAAGACCTGAGGGAAAGAGGGAGGGATGGATAATATAGAAGCCCTGTGTCAAGATCCAAATCGAGTTTTCAACTCTATTATTTTAGCTGACATTGTGCTCACATGGAGAATATTCTTGAATGAATGTGTGTCTAATCAAATTATCACAAAACCTTGACACAAAGTAGTTTTGGCGGCTCTGCGAAGAATATTTAATACCCATGTGCACTGCACCTGCACATGGCGTGGTACTAACAGGTAACAAATACAAATGTCAGAGAGAGAATGAGGAATGGGCAACAGTGCAGTGGCTGATGGTACAGCACTGTTTTAGTGGGATATACTGATTCATAGTGGTATCTCACGGTTGATTTCTGGTCTGCTGCTGTCATTCTACTGGCCCATAAACGGTATGTCACTCGTGATTTGCTGACACATACAAATGACCACTGGCATTATCTTATTCTTACTGGCAGAAGCCACAGCGATCATGTTCAGAATCAGGTTAAGTAGGTTTTTTACCTTGGTATACTGATACATAACAATAAACATAGAAAGTAGAAAATACAAAGAAAGATGAAAGCATGTTCTGCAAGACCAGTGAAAATAAAATATAAAATTCACCATATGAAAAAATATAAAAACAAAATGTATAATTATTTAAATGAAAGAGCTCTACAGTTTTGTGCAGAAATGTGTAAAATAATTTTGGTCGAAATAATAAGTAGCATATCATAATGAGTGGCACGTGACAGCAAAAATCCCTATATGGCAACAGGAAAGTGGTACCTGTCAGTAAAACATGAGTGACATACTGTTTGTGAGTGCCGTAAGCCAGTAAAATGGCAGCCGCATACAATAATCAACAGTGACATCAATCAGCATCGACATCTCAGGGTCACTTTGAATAACGGGGCACCCATAGCTCATATTTGCCCAGGGCCTCTCTAGCAGGTTGTGCTTGCCCTGCATGGTTGCTGTTATAATGTGTGATTACTAAGCAACAATCACAACAATGAGCTAGATGCCAAAAAATAGAAATCATATTTTGTCTGTAATATTGTAGATCTCAGGTAAAATGGTAAGTCTACATTATCACTACAGTCTTCATTTGTGTTGCATCATGTACTCGCTTACTTACATTTTCTCATTGAGTTTGCCCAGTACTGTATCCGTGGCTTGTAAGAGCTTAAAACGCAGCCTTTCCTCCAGGTCAGGAAAGTCTCTGAGAGGTGTGTTGGAGATTTGGACATTGGAAAGCGCTCTCGACTGCTCTGCTAAATTCCCGAGAGACACCATCAGAGGGCTGCAATCGGCCAACACACTCGTCCATACTTTGTGATTGTTTTCAAGACTCTGGAAGCTCTTCCTCAGTGCTTGATTAAGTGAAAGTACTGCAGGTTTGGACATTTTAGACATGCATTCACCACAAAGTCAAAGCGGCGTGTGGGCAATAAATGGATTTTTCTATTTAAATTATTTTAATCCGTTTTGGAGCAACACGTACCCTTAATATCATTTCTGTAACATTTTAAAGTCTGGTAACATTAGCTGCTAGTTAAATCACATTTCCACCATGTTGCTTGGACCCATTTCCGTTCTCCTGATGTAAACACTGACGTTTGGCGCTACGATAGGTCGAGAGCCATTTTTCCGTGACGCAAAGCAAAAACGTGTTATAATTGGCTGAATTTGCGTGAAGCCCCTCCCCGCGCGGAAATTTGAAAACGGCTTTGTGAAGGAAGGGAAGGTCGGCCGTCCGAGGAAGAAAACTACAACTAAGTAAGTTATTGTTTATAAAATATGTATTACAGCGGTAAAAACTAAGTACTTAGAGTGTCTTATTAAAGGTTTGTGCATGTGAACGAAACTGACAATAAAGAAAGTGAGCCAAATTTCCGGGCTTGACGTTAGCATTAGCTGTTAACTTTAGCTCTATTTCCAGCCAACCGCATGTCGGCAGTTTCATTTTAAAATGCTGGATGCAGTTATAACCTAAAGCTACCCAGTGTAACTCGATGATCTCTACTTACTGGCGCGTGTTGTCAAGCGTGGGTAAATTGACATCTTTTTATTCTACTGATCCATGCAGACATGGCTCCCAGGAAAAGGACCACCAAACAACGGAAAAACAACCCCAAGACGGCCAAGGTGGAGGCTTTTCTGGAGGATTTCGACAGCGATGGTGAATCTGTTTTTTCCTTATAGTTACGAAACAGTTAACGTTGTTAAGCAGTGCCCTGTGAAATGTGCTGTGTAGGGAGTTTGTTTTAATTTGACTTAATTAGAATCTAGATGCTGGGTGTAAACTTACTGTGACCATACAAGGACAACATCCTATGGCCGGTCCAGCATACTAAATTATGTAGAATGCTATATTAGTACAGAGCCTGGCAGATTTTAGAGAGTGATACAGATATTGACATTTGAGAACAAAAAGATCAGATGCATATTGATACATTATTCTACATAATGTTACACATTTTCGTTTAGGTTCCCATGTATTTGGTTATTAATGAATTGTGACCCAGATGTGAACTGAGCCTGACATTGCACAGTTGAAAAATAGCCACAGACTGGTTGAATGTAATGGCACCGCTGTCTGTATTAGATATATTTGACCTTTCTGTACTGCAACTTCTTGTTTAACTGTAAAGTCAGGTTAATATACTATTGGATTATTTTTACTGATGCATCATCATTTAAGCAGCATTTTAATGTTGTAGCTCATCAATGTGGAGCCATTTTTAGCTACTTTATAAACTGCTGGGAAGTGTACTCTGAAACACTTCATCAACAACAACACTTGTGTTTTCACAGTGAAGACCAGAGTTGGGCAACTGAAAGAGAAGATCAACCAGCTGCTGAAAGATGTTGACAATAGCTACAACATGGCACTAATTAAGCTCCCCAAGGCTGTTAGGCAAATGGTCTGGTTGGAACATTGCAGTAAGTTGACACAAGCAATCTCACATTAGTATGTATTCTGTTTTATCCTTTCATCATCCTTAAATGAAAAGCATTTACCAATCTTTCTGTAGAGTCTGAGAAACCAAAGTCACCAGAAGTGGATAATATAAAGGTGAGTTGATTATATTTCTATCTCATATCATGTAAAATGATTGATAGGGCAACACAAGTTTCAGAAAGTCAAACACCCTGTGCTGTATTAAACACAAATTTTTATTAACAGAGAGAAGAAGAAGCTGCTATTGACAGCGTTGTGGCTGAGCACCAGGCAGTCCTTCTGAAATCTGTCAAGAAAAGTATGTTAAAACTAGTTTTTGCGTTTTAAGTGTCCTTAAATGAAACGGGTCTATCAACAAAGACTACTTTGGCTTGGATGTTGGTGAAGAATTTAAGGTTTGGAAAATGAGAAAACTTCTGAGATGAATCTCAATAGTTTATTTTGTCTCCAATTTACAGCCTCAAAGAAAAAAGGTGGAGCCAAATCCAGTTCAGAGGATGAAAACACCCCGAGCACAACAAAGAAGGTAGCGGAAGATTTTCATGCAAGCATGCATAAGAAGAATACAGCGGCATGTTTGACAGCAGCTTTGATCATAAAAATACAGAGTGGATGATTGGTATGGAATGTGGGCGCGGCCACTTTACGCTGTTTTAACTGCTTGTTCCTTATTCAGGGGAAAGCAACAAGGAAACCTCCAACTACATCAAAAAGGGCAAAGACGCTGGCAGTCAGCAAGCAGAACACCTCAATCAGACGGTAAGACCCTTCTTTTTCTTACTGTCTTTCTTTTGTTACCCCCTTCTGAAGTTCAGTAGCCCAATAACACCACACTAAAATGTCTCTTTGTGGATTCAGATCAACCAGGAAGCCATTGGTCACTCCTGCCAGGAGTATGCTGGATTCTTCTTTGATGATGGGCCCCACTCCCCTCATCACCCCACGCTTTGACCCAAGGTAAGCAACCATGCAGTTACAGGTGCAAAACAAGTCTTAAAATACCACTGCTATTCTCCCTGTTTGTGCAATAAAGGATTATCTCATAACCTGCAAATTGATGCAGCATATATTTTGCTATTTCATCAATGATATTCCTTAGAAAATTCTTATCATCGAGGTTAAACTTCTCCAGCCAAATTAAGTGATTGATGGTAACATGAGAACACAATGGGAAACCGTCTCCTAAATGTAGGCAAGTGTATGTTTGATCCAGTTGTGTATTACATGCTACAGGACTCTTCTTCTGGAGTTCAAAAAAGTTTCAAAGTTCAACACAACATGTGAAGTAATGTGTGCAGATTATGATTATATAGCTTACCGTACTGCTCAGTAAAGTATTGTGGTAAACTTTGCATACAGCTGATATACTGCCATATGATGGATAATTTAGAAAAGTTTATGTCTGGTACACTGACCTGTTGTTGCACTGAATGTAGGGCTCTGTATTCAGTATTTAACATTGAAGCAATTTCACCAACTGCAGCTCCTGTACAGTTATGACTCTTTTCTGTTATACTGATAGTGGTTTAATGAAAACGCAACGAATGTACCAACTTTGCATGACTGTTACACCTCATGTGTAGTGCAGTGAAGACTTGTTCTCATGACTAGCTAGCTCATTTGAAATAGTGCTGTAATGGGGCAACTAGTGCAATTTACTCTCTTAGATCTTTTCTAAATCGCAGACATTATCCACAGTGAGGGGTTCATAATCACACTATACATGCCTTATTTCCTCAGGCTTCCTAAGACCCCCGCTGTTAGAGTTCCCCGCCACAAAGAGAGAGTCTATAGCATTTCAGTCAACGGCTCTCCCATTGCAGCAGGAAATGAGGACGTTGTTATCAACGTGCCGATCGGCAATGGAGAGGTGAGTGCGCAGTTCCTATGACAATATTTAATTTTATTAATATATTGTTTTTAAAATTAATGTCTGCAAAGGACACATTCTTATTAACATAAACAACTGACAAGAAATTAAGACCACCTTTTATAATCAGTTGATTTGCAAGTAATTCTTTACCTTATTGCAAAATTTGACAATACTCTATGACGTGATAATACTGAGGAGCAAGGAGTATTTCTCTGTCATCTGTTGCTTGCATTTATTGAAGACTGACTTCTGACAAGACTTTGGATTAGGCCTAAAGAGCAAACTAATTTACCAAACACATGTTTTGTAATATGTTGATGCAGAGCATTCAGCTGTTGGCCAGTCAGATGGACTCTGTGGACTTGTCACTACTGGATGAAACCGCTCTGAAGAGCATTCGACTGCTGCAGGTGTGTTGATAACTTGTCTTAGACAACATTTCAGTATCACTGTGGACATGTTTTGTTCCAAGATTTAGTGAAGCATTTGGTTTAAAATATTATATTTATAATTTTTTATATATATTTTTTCTTTTAACAGAATCGCCTCACAACCCTGTGTGGAACATCAGAGTGAACTAATCGTCTGCTGTTGACTTGTACAGTGCTTTTAAGAAATATTATCTTCGTTTCAAAGCCTTGTGTTTTTTCCTCTGGCATGGTATGTTTTATTTTTACTGATATGTGAGATTTTAAAAGATTTAGCGTTGATAAGAAAACAATGTTTTGTCACTATTTTGTTTTACTGGACATAGTTTTCTTTAAGCCCAACACACTCACTGAAATGCATCCAGTTAAAGGCTAAGGTGGGTTTTTTTCAACGTGGACCATATTTTCCCACATTTTTGTGTCTGTGACTAATGGGGTTAACATTTTTTGGAATTGGTCCAGTATTGAGCGAGCATGCGTGCTGCAGTCAGCAGCAGCGAGACAGGGCAACAATGTGATCCAAAGTCAAAGTATGTCCACTAAAGTGCATATTTTTTTGTTTTTTTGCTGACAGGCTAGTTTGTTTGTCGTGTAAATTTTGTTTTTAAAGGGTTGAAAAGAGGGTAAAATTATGTTCTTTGTCAAGGGAGTCTGGTGGCTTTAAAGAGAGCAATATAGCAATTGTTTCTGCTTAAACAAAAAAAAGCTTGCTCTTTTAAAAAAAAAAAAGCTTGCTCAATACTGAACCAAATTCAAAAGAAATTTGTCCCCATTAGTCACATAGACACAACAACAGGGGGAAGTAGGCTCCAAGTTGCAAAATACCAAACTTGCCCTTTAATGAAAGCTGTTAAATGTATAAATGTGGGTTAAAATGTGTTAATTGACCATTTGCTACTATATTACTTACCTTTGTAAGATAGCTTAGTCACCAGCCTTACTTACTTCACCTTTCATTTTTATATTGGTATTTTCTGTTGCTTTCGGAGAATTAGGCTTAATCCTGGGCCCACTTCTGCCTAATGTCTGTCTCATTTTAATGCTATTCCAGTCATTTATAACTGTTGGCCAGTCAGACATGTAAGGTCTTTTTGTTGTACTTCAAGCCTAAAATGGACAGGCCTGTACACTGCAAATATGATTTACTGTTCAATCTTTGTTTTGTAAGTACACTGTCCTAACTTTTTTTTTTTTTGTTTCCTTTTGTCATTGTTGAATTATCAATCCTTCCATGTTTCTATAAATCAGTTTGCAGTTGCGTTATTAGTGCAAAGGCATACTTCTTGTACATAGATCTTTCTTTGTCTGCAGAACTGATAAAGGATTTTGACCACAGCTCTAAATTTGTGTGATATGGTGTGTCTGGAATTAAATGTGTTGGTTGATTGTATAAGAGTGTAAATGAGCAGCTTGATTACAAGAAACACATTTTAGCAATAATTTACTGGACAAATCTTTACCAATCTGTACCTTTGCATAGTGACCAGTAGGTGACAGCATTTCACCATAGAAGTTTGCTTCTCTGGAGAAGTCAGATCAACCTCTTCTGACTGATATTTCTTTCTCCATTTGTAACCGGTCTTCCAGTATTAAAGCTGTTGCCAAATAGACCAAAAAAAGTAAAAGTAAAAATTCTATACTTTCTTCTTCTGCTGATGATCAAGAAAATACCTCTCACAAATATAACCTTAAACACAGTACAATATTGTATTGGATCGTTCTGCTATACGCTGCAGAGCTGTGACAGGGTAATAAATTAAAGTGGCTCTACAGTGTTGTTACCAAATCTGTCCACTTAGCTTTTGTGTGTAATTTTCCGCTATAGGTTAACAAACTCTTGCTTTTGCTTATGTATGAAGTTCCTCTTGTCCTTTCATGACTTTGTTTACACAGAGGGACATTAGTGGGTCACGTGACGTGCTGTTGGCAGGAAGTGGCAGCCTGTCCTGCTGCTGGCACCGAAACCTGCACTCTGACCTTCGGGGACATCATAACGCTGCCAATTAGAGGCTTGTTAAGCTTCGTTAGCTCTGATGAGCTCGTTAGGATTTCCACCTGGGATGGTGGAGGGGTTCAGACCGGGCCTCACCTTGGGCCCAGACAGACAAGCATAACTCTTTGTTATTCCTGCTGGATTCTCATACATTGTATTCTACCGAGCCACAGCATGGGAACTTGGTGCCCCCAGCTCGAACCGGGCTTGGTCCTTTCCATCTGTACCCATCTTAAACACTTTATCATCTGCTGTCTCTCGCTTTGGAAACTGTGTTGCAGAGGTACAAAACCTAACTCTGCAAACGACAGATGTTGTGGTCAGCGGTGCGTGCAGTTCAGCTCCCTCGTTAGCGGAGTACTGAGCCCTGGCGCACCTGCTCTACATATCAGAATTTCCCTAGTTTTGCCTCTGAATGGATTGCATCCTTTTTTTATTCTCTAGGTGAGTGGAAAATTGCCATTTTGCACGGATGGCTTGGTTTTCAGTAAGCATGCAGGCGGTGGCGCAGTGACAGGTGCGGTATGGATGGGGCGGATTTTGAGGTCACAGAGCAACACTGCTACATAAATCATCCGCTGAGATGTTCAGGATGAGGGACTGGAATCTGAGATATTGAGAGAGCGACACAGTACAGAGCTGCTTCAACACTTAGCAAGCAGTTCTGTATTCCTGTGCAGTTTTCTATTCACCTTCTATAAAATAGTTCAAAGATAATGAGAGATTTTAAAAACATTTGTGCAAAATTAGTTCATTAAAGCAGTCTTTAAAGCTGCACTAATCAATATTTTTAAATGAAAAATGGATCCGTTTGTGTGTGTAATGCGACAGTGGTCGCTCCCAATTATAAATCGACTATGAAGAATTATAACCCGACTTTGCAGTTCCCCTCAGCTTTCAGAGCTGTATTTTAATGTCTTTTAGCTTATTGTTTTGGTTTTACAGCTCACAACTTCAAAGCTTTGGTTCACTCATTAAACCCATTTCCGTAGCAGCGGGCAACTGTTTCCAGTGACAAAGTTCTGATAAATTGATTGTGTGCTACTTGTCCAGCACCAAACTGCAGGCAAAGTTAGTGACTAACTGGTGAACATAGAAACATCAATCCTAGTCAGAAACTGTTTTCCTGTTCTTTCCTTTGTGCTGACATAGTGTGAATGCAGCATAGCACCTTCATAATAACTATACAGCAATAATATGTTAAAGTCGTGTTTACAGGTCCTTCTAAGCTGCCAAACAATCAGTTACTGATTTAAGCTGCCTTAGAATTCCACAAACCTTTTCTTTACCTGTCCTTTTGTTCCACTGTTCCACAATAAGCCCCACCCACCCCACCTCTCAGCCCCTAACATCACCCATCCACCGCTTAACCCCACCCTCCCTTACAATCTCCCATTTTAAATTCTGAAAATCTGTTATCATTATCACATGTGTCTGACACATGAATGTGGCGAACGAAGCTGTTCCCTCCCCAGACTGCTGGAGCCGTTTGTTAATTGAGCACCCAGACTTGGGGAAATTGCCAAATTTCCTGCCAAGACGAATGAACCTGGCAGAGGCATGTTCTCCTAGCAAAATTAATTCTCCAGTGTGTCGAGGCCTCCTATAAATCCCATCCGTCAAGTGCTCCACTAATCAATTTATTGTGTACCCACACCTCCGTCTGCCACTGTCTCTCACTCAATTCATACTGAGCCAGCCAGGGGTCGAGACTCATCTTTTTGCTAAGTTGGTTTGTCAGCACAAACCCAAAAATGTCACCGAATGCTTTGTTCTGTCTGCTTTGGTGATGGAGAGTCAGGGGGACACAAGCTGATGGTAAAGTGAAGTGGCAGACGGGAGGAAGAGTTAAATGGTACTGAACAGCCCCCCCATGACGCATTCTGGGCATGTGTTCGTCTGGTGGCCAGCAGGGTCCTGATGGCGTTTTGATGGCCGGCCCCTCTGTCACTCAGGCACTCCTGATGGTGGGCGGGGTGGAGAGGAACATCTGCTGCCAAAAAAATAAATAAACAAATTCCTGTGGAAATTAGGCCCTGAAAATAACAAGCAGCTCTGAGGAGAGGCAGGAGGTTAATGCCATTTGCTGATTGCACAAAGACAAGCTTTTGCTTGAGAGACCCCTTGGTGGCACTGAAATTCAGACATTTGTCTGTGAGAGACATGACAGCATTTCTTTGCGCTGAGCACCAGACATTATCTGTCCTGTGATTCGAAAAAGCAACTTCATTTATGGGCCATGTGTATATGAAATTTCTTGATATGTGTCATTGTCATATTAGTGCAGATAGTGTGGTGCAGGTGGGAGTGTATTCATGGGAAATCCAACAAAAAATAAAAGGTTCTCGCTTTTGCTCTGAAGTACAGACACAGTCCAAACACTTTGAACAGATTAAAATGTCTTAATTTTAGTAATACTTTGCACGTAACTTATTGTTATAAGGGGGTGAGCAGTTCAAGTTGAAGCACTGAAATAAGTGTAAACATTAAAAGGAGCTGAGGTGTCAGTTGGAGCTTTGGAGCTTAAGCAGCTGAAATTAGTAGAAGTCTAATTGGTATGTGAGTTTTTAGTGTAACACCCGAAACAATGTTGAGTTGTACACTTTGAACAGTTGAATTATACAAGATAAAAGCAAGTGGAATGTCTGAAATTACATCCAAGGAACTGAAATGTGTTATATGACGTGTACGCATCTGAAATGTCTGAAATGAATCAGTTGAATCGTCAGCTTAAGTGTAAGAAATGAAAATGTCAGTTAAGTGGTTTGGGCTGAAAGCATGTGAAATGTCAGTTTAAGAAGTGTAGGAAGTTGTCAGCTTGAATGAAAGCTGACAAGTGGCTGAAGTGTACAAAGTCAAAGCAGCATAAATGTCAGTCGATGTGGGAGCACTGAAAGCGTTTGAATTGTCAGTTGATGTGTAATTGCTAAAAGCAGTTGCAATGTCAGTTGATTTCAATTTAAGTGCTAAAAATGAATGCATGTAATAGGTTTGCAAAGTGAAAAAGCCCAAAGTCCAGCCCACAGGCAATTCCCATCTCCCACAGAAAACTCTTCTCTGAACTGCCTGAAAACAGCTCGTTTGTAGTCTAGCCGTTTCCCTTTCATCCCTGTGACGTCACTGGGATGAATAATAAGTAATATCTACTCAGAACTATTCACCTAAAAATATCTTGTCACCACCTGTTAAGATAGTCTGTCACCTACTCACGTACTCATCTCTCTTAATTTGTCTTGTTTTGTTTTTCCTTTCTTGTCTGTTAATGTATCTGTTATTTAAGGTTATTACTAATTTACATATATTTTCTGCTATTATGTTATCTTAAGAACTTATATTGTGTTTATAAGCTGGAATGTCTTGAATGTTTGTGATTTACAATAAAATGCATTAAACCCCCCCCGCCAAAAAGTCATATAACGCTCACCAAGTGGCTACTTCGACACGCCCTCAAAAACACCAGTGGAAAAACACTGAGCTGCGGCACACACCTCCTCTCCCTTCCAAACACTGTCAATGGACATAAAGTTGTTACTGTGATGTAGAGACAGAGCTCAGTTAAAACTTTATGGATGAAAGATACATTTGTTACAGATCAATAACTCATCACTCTGAAACTCTTGATCCAGTCCATGTTGCCAAGCTGGCTGGCAACATGTAGCCTAAAGCTGAATTGAAGCTGTTTACCGGCTTTTCGCTGACCCGCCCTTCTCTGCTTCTGATTGGCTATTACCGGCTTTTCGCTGACCCGCTCTTCTCTGATTCTGATTGGCTAGTAGTCCTTAACTAGGAACTGTGCATGTGCAACTCCCAACATAGATCATTTAGAGCAGGGGTATTCAATTAGATTTCAAAGAGGTCTAGTTAGAGAAAATTTCCTGAAGCAAAGGTCCGGAACATCAAAACGACGAACTTGCGTTATCATTCAGTACTATAACCTATAGTTGTATCAACACATGTTTTTAGTCAACAATGGACTGTCAAATCAAATAATATTTCAGTCAGTTTTCACATCAAACTGGAGGGATAATAAATAATAACTATTCAAATAATAAATTCTAAATTTAAGTAAACTAAAGTGCCTAATTTTTAGAAAAAATGTAATAAAAAGTGTAGCTTGAAGTGATGAAGTGTAGTCTTAACCAATTTTATAATAAACACTCAACACATCATAACAAATGAACAGCTGTAATGCCTCCTCTTCTCTTTCATTTCCTCTTACAGAGCTACCACTTTCCTACTTTCTGTTGTTCAGTGAGAAACGTGAGCTCCAGCTAGCATATTGGAGATCTATGAGATATTCTGGTTTTGAACTGCCCGTGGGAGGAATGTACATGTAAAAATC